CACGGCTAACATCAGCGGCGAGTGATATTCTGAAACTATCCTGAGGTGCATCGCTTTCACCGGCCCGCACTGACCAGCGTCTATATAAGGAATTAAACAGGTGGACTTCTCCACAAATCTGGCTGTCGCCTGATGAAGCTAGTTGTAATTATTGGCGAAACGTCGTAAATGGTGTGTCTTGGCTCTCCAACACACCGGTGTGCTGTACTAGTGACGAATTGGCATGTTCTGTTTGCGTGACAACCCTTACGAGTTGGCTGTGTTGGGTGGTGGCGGGTTTTAACGACACATTTATATATTTATGCGATCTAACCCAAAAAAATAAAAAAACCTCTATTATGGATATTGGTCGCGAAAGCTTACGTGTTAAACCAAATGGATGTATGTTGACCGACACGGCATAGGGAGGCCATCATCCAGCAGCAGACTGACAAAGGACTGGCAATGTCTTGTTGTATATGATAAGTATTGAGGTATTACCAGTGACAATAACAATGATGTACGATATTTAACCAATTCAAGCACTATGAAATATATAAATACCGGCTGCATAAAGCATGGAGCGCTGCTGCTGCTAATATTTAAACTGAAGTCAAATAATAGACCTCTACTATGCGAAATATTTGCAAAGACCTGACCAATGTCTGCCAGTAGTAGGGCAGATATTTAGTATGAAAAATGTTCTACAAAATACAACAAAACATCAACACTTCCTTGCCCTGTGTTGTGCCCAGATTTCCTGAAACAGAGGCAATGCATTCTTTGGGCTCTCAGTCGGTTCACCAAAAGACAACTCTGATCTTTGTGTAAACATAGCTATGACTGTGTATCACGCACTGATCTTTAGACGACGCGCGTTTAAAGATTAATCCGTGAGCACAAAGTATCTGAAGATCATGGTCACTGGACTTTCAGCTATGCCGTCAAAGCGCCCTCCGGTGACAACCACTGTGGTATGACCGCGATGGCTAAAATCTTGACTTAAAGCTTTCGTTGGCTGCAGGAATTAATTAATATTTTTTGGGTCTTTCGGTGAAGTCACGTAGATAGGTTCAAAGAAAATAACAAAAAGCTACGACGTTTCGATCGCAACACAAGCGGTCATGATGACGACCGCTTGTGTTGCGATCGAAACGTCGTAGTTTTTTGTTATTTTCTTTGAACCTATCGACGTGACTTCACCGAAAGACCCAAAGAATACTGCGATGGCTTTTAAACATTTGTGTGCATACAAAATAAAACTTTTATTTTCCCGAACTTTTATTTTCCAGGTAAAACCTACTGACCTATAAGCCCTTTTTCAGAAGCTCAACGAAGTGGCTTACCATGTGGAAATGTATAGCAGCTAAATCCTCTAAACCCATGTTTCTAAATGTGGAGTGAATATCCAGAGGACCCGGAGACAAATCCACGCGACCACGGGGAGAACATGCAAACTCCAAATATACAGGTGTCAGAGTCGGGATAGAACCGACGACCTCCTGTATACCAGGCGAGGTAGTTAACACCTCGCCACCACATATGGACCTAAGTGGTCTTTGGGCCACAGAAGAAATATCACATAAGTAACTGTTATTGAACACCTAAAGAAATGAAGTTATATCACTTCAGGTGGTACCGACAAGTGAAATATTTGGTCTGGGCTCATGGAAGATACGATTGAGTAGTACTGTATACAGCAGAAGCGCGGACACTAAGAAAGACAGGGATTGTGGTGTCAAACGATGAAAATAAGGAGGGTGGGGAGAAAGAGCAATGAGGAAGTTCTAAAGCAGCTTAAGGAGGAGAGAAGTCGAGTTGGCAGATGCGGATACCTGATGCACACATTGGAAATGAAAAGCTGTCCAGTGTGCAACTGTGGTCATCAAGAGCAGACCATGCAACATATAACGACGCAGTGTCCCATCCAAAAATATGAAGGAGACATCACGGCGACGATACGCTCTGCTGCTCCTGACGCGGTTATCTGGGCTCGAGCACCCGAATGTGAAATTGTAGTGGTTGCTCTGCATCTACATCAGCCGCCGTACGAAAGAAGAAGTCGCGTTGCTTGGGCGCATTCTCAGACAGAGGTGGAATCTTGACGGAGGACGTTCTGGAAGCGAAGGAGGGATTTTTGGGGAAAGAGGCGAAGAGGCATAAGGGAGAAAAAAAATATATTAATACACAAATGTTTTACTTGCATAGTCAAGTAATTGTATTTTTTTAATTAGCTATACAGCCAAATAATACGACAAATCGCTAACCTTAAACGCCCAGTCGTTCATAAAAGTTGAAGGCGATATAGTACTATAGTAATAGAGCAAGTGCAGAATCACTGAACCGGAATTGATAGCTTGAAAGCATTTAGCGCGGGGCCCTTGAAAGTGTAGCTCCTACACATGTAGCTACATATGTAGCTACATGTGTAGGAGCTACATGTGTAGCTACATGTGTAGGAGCTACATGTGTAGCTACATGTGTAGGAGCTACATGTGTAGCTACATGTGTAGGAGCTACATGTGTAGCTACTAGAAGAATCCGGCACTGTGTGTCATGATGTTGCGTCATATTAGACCTCAAACCCCAAACGACGCCTGCTGCTTTCACAGGCCCCGTTAAGAACACGGTTTCAGGGGTAGAATTTGCATTTGTTTTGTTGTTCCTTTGCCAAGAGCTTCTCTGCGGAACGTGGGGGGTGTGGGGGGGGGAAGAAGCTCCCAGCGTGTGGTGGAAAACTCCGAGCACGGGTTGGAACATCGTGGCGAGCAACGCGCGGCACAACCCCAAACGCACGGCAGCACAACCGCGGGCACCTGGGCAGGCAAGTCGGACCTCGTGAGGTTGCCGAAACACAACGCTGCAATCACAATTTAACACCGACTATACACGCCTCGATTGATTTCTATTCCCTGACATACTGAAATAGCCCGACAAGTGGGAGAAACGTGGTGGTGGGGGGGGGGGGGGTTCCCACCATTATACATGCGTGTGTAAAAGCAACATATTGCGCGATTGCAAGCGCATTGCCACACTTTTGCTATGATCCGTGGGGAACTTAAGACGCGACATAGTTGGTGATTGGCCGGGACATTGCGACGTAAGACTCCCTGATGTGTGCGCGCCACGGCCCGAAATCTGCTCTCATGAAAGCGCTTTCAACCTAAAGTGGCTCGGTACGCCATCAGATTTTGTTCGCGAGCACCTTGGCGTGTAAGGTCAGCAGGAGGTCGTTGTAAAAAAAATATATAGATCGTGCGCATTGTTTTTTATATATAGCAGCATACACTGCAATGTGCCTCAACTGCTGTAGACACATTCTAAATCTGTCACATGTATCGCTGTGAAACGAGAGTACGTGATGTATATTTCGAAGTTCAACTTTTAAAACAATGTAGGCTAAATATAACAGGTAGCTAAGGATAAATACAAAACGTCTGTGAACTATTATATGGTGTGCACCTCAAGGGCACTTTTTATTATTCAGATAAATACCGCACATACATTATCTAGACATTGTTAACTTGAAGCCAAATCCTGTACTACTAATTTACGTATTTGTTTCAACAGAGTGGATCAGCCTTGTTTGTACCGTGGTTGGTGTGGGCCTGGTGTGTCCCCATCCGGCTTGGTCCAGACGCTCCTGAGTGTGAACCCAGCGTCTTTATCTCCTTGGCTTTATCTCTCTGTGCCTCTCTGTCTACCTCACCTCTCATTATTTCTTTCATATTCTTGGTTCTTTTTGGTAAAGTCACGTAGAAGGGAAACAATAAAATAAAAATATTGTTTTATATTTGTATTATTTAATTGCTTTATATTTTTATTATTTTATTGTTTCCCTTCGACGTGACTTTACCGAAAGAACCAAGAACATGAATCCCTGCAGTCACGAAAGCTTTAAATCAACATTTATTTATTTCATGTTGTATGGTGGGGTGTGAGCGAGCTGTGTGCGCGTGATTCTGAGAGCTGCTGCTTTCTTTCAAATTTATTTTTTTTCATTTTTTACTTCACCTGTTACACTTTTCTTGTTACCCTCTTCGAAAAAAGCAGGCCAACATAAGATGACCCAGAGCCGCGCATTCGTAACATTTCTTTGGGTTTACTTTCCCTGGCTTCAGAAATTCAAAAACAGTACGATGCTCGAGTTCCTGATTTTCAGAAGCCATTATGGTCTACTTGCAGTATTGCACAAATAAGTAACAAACTAATACGTAACATCATTCCGTGGTGGCCTGTAATACAAGCAGCTGCAAGAACAAATGATCTCTGCCACTTTACACGCTTTTATTTAACTCACTCTGTCGTCGTATCCTCAAATCTTGTAACTCAATTGTAACCCATTTCCCAATGTGGTATCGACTGAAAACTTGGTATACATATGTCATACTGATGACAATACTGTATTCTATCACTAAAAATAAAGCATTTTTAAACATTCATTTTTATTTTGATTTAAAGCTTTCGTGACTGCAGTAATTCATATTCTTAGTTTTTTCGGTAAAGTCACGTTGAAGGGAAACAACAAAATATATATTTATATATATTGTTGTTTCCCTTCAACGTATTCATTTTTATGTTGTTTCGGCTTGGGTCTAATTGTCCACGCTCAACTGACGTTGGCTGTATATCACCACGGGTCCCTTACGTTGTGGCAAGCCTCGGGGCCACTTCCTGGAGTTTTTACATTACTCGTACGGTACATTTCATTCAAACGTGTTTTTAAAAAAAAAGTATTTTTAAATATTACTTATTTTAGATCAGGCCTAGGACTTTTTGTACCACCCTTGTACATAACACAACAAATCAAATTCTGAGCACACACACAAACCAGTTCTAATTATCATGCACTTATACAAATCAGATCTGGCTGGGTGGTGTCGTGGTCCTAATACACGACTACTAGAGTAAAGATACAATCTGCGTCATGGTTCAAACTCCAGCCTATTTTCCTTGCAACATATCCTTGCTTTGGTAAAACAAAATCTATTCCATAACAAAACACACATTCACAAAAAAACAAATGTATGAAGGATTTTTTTTATTGCCAAAACAGTTCCTAATATGTACATTTGATGCTGTTTTTTATTGTTTAACACGTTTAAAATACGTTTAGAGCAACAACTCTTTCATATTGTGTTAAACTTAGTTTTCTCTACTTGTATGTATGACAAATCTGCTGCATGCAGGAGTTTCACAATGCAACATACGTTACAGGAAATCCCAAACAACTACACTTGAAATATTCACTCAATTTCCCCCACCTCCCGACTCTAAAGATAAAAAAAATTATGCACAAATGTAATTTTATCACAAAAAAAACTCATACTTTACAAAGGACAAAAAACCAGCCAACTGACAAAACAATTCTCCAGCCAATTCTCCATGCAGAGGTTGACCACCGCAGAGAGTTTCATGGCAACGACGCTCGGGTTCGTCAATGTCGACGTAACGAGTTTTCGCAGCCAGACTCCGAATCTTTATTTTATCCTGGAGAAATCCGATGAGCTATGAAGTTATTTTTCACAGATGTTGTCCGGGGTCAGCCTGCGTCTTGAACATTTCTTCCTTCTCGACCTTTGGCCACGCGCTCCTCACCGCCAGCACCGCGTAGCGGAGCGGCGGTGAGGTTCCGGCGACAGCGATAGCGGCGGCGGCGGCGGCAGCAGCACGAGTAGGAACGAAAACAGCGCGAGCGAACAAAACGCCCCGACGCGCAGCAGCCCGAACCCGGGAACGCTGCCACGCCCGGGAGGCTCACGGCACAACTCGAGAGGCGAGCGAGGACCCGCGCGGCGAGGCGACAGCGTCCGCTGCACAGCGGGGGTGTGCTCAGGCGGCCTTGTTCCGCGACGCCGCCTCTGCGTTCGCACGCAGCACGGCGCCCGGGCTGGGGTAAGGCCGCTGCTGGAAGAGGGGCCCCGACGCGGTGGTGTCTGCTCCTGTCTTGGCGTCGCCTTTCCTCTGGAGCCCAGCGCTCCAGTTTCCGCTAAAGGGGAGGAGGAGGAGGAGGAACACATCAAGCGCACGTGTGATTGTTTATGTAACAGATTTACATGACTACCTGGCGCAATGTGTAAACATTTAAACGATTAAACTATTAAATGTTTACACATTGTGCCTGGTGTAATGTGTAAACATTTAAACTATTTTTTTTATTTTAGCAGGTAAGGCCCACTGAGTTATATAGCTATTCTTCAGAAGCGACCTGGCCACAAATAATAGCTCAACGAAGTGGCTTATCATGTGGAAATTTACAGCAGCCAAATACTCGAAACGTATGTTTCTAAATGTGGAGGGAAAACCCAAAGGACCCGGAGAAAAATCCACGCGACCATGGGGAGAACACGCAAACTCCAAATATACAGGCATCATGGTCAGGATCGAACCCACGACCTTCTATATAGCAAATGGGGGTAGTTAACATCTCGCAACAGTGGCGCCCCATGGTGGCAAGGTGAGGAAGACAAAGGTGGTCTTGCATGGTGCTGGCAACACCATCCGCTCACATGCCATGCTCGCTAACAGCAACTGCCCCAACAGTATGTATAGCTGTATGGGGGAATCTTTTTGCGTGCATGTGTGTACAAGCAAGTGCGTGGATGTATGCGTGCACTTTGTGTGCGTGTGTGTGGATACGTGTGCCAACTTGCGAATAAAAAACAGCAGGGTGACAGAGCGGAGAGCACAGACGGTGCATCGGATCTCAGTCAATCAACCCATAACACCGGGATGTGTCCCTTGACCTCCTGTCAATAAGCCTTTGACACTTCACATGGCCTCAAAGTGCACCTAGCCTAGCACAAGCGTTGTGGTGATGTCGCCGCTATTTAGTGGCGAATGGCCACTGTTGTTATTTTTGCGTGTGTATATGCTCACATGTGAATGCATGCGAGTGTATATACATGTTTGTGTATGTTTTTTTAGTTTTCCTAATTCCCACGACCTACTGTGGCACTCGATTGTATTGCATGCTTAAAACACAGCTTGCGATCGATGGGGTGCAAATCAATACAATCCGATCACAACCCATCGATTGAACCAAAATTTAAAAAACCTTTAGGGGACTTATCTCCACTGACAGTCCTGGGCTATTGGGGAAAATGTCACATTTCTATGGCAGGGATAGTTACGGTGCAATCCTCACAGTGGTACATATTTTATCAACCATGGAAAGATAATGGGCAAAGTAGTACCCTGAGATGGATTTAAACTTCCAACCTTTCCACTTTTAGTTCAGCCTCTGACGATGAGGCCTATACAGCTGCAATAACTTGGAATATCATCATTTCCAGGGAATAGTTTCCAACACACGGGTATATTTTATCACAAAATGAATGCACCATGACAAAGTGAAATACACTTGCCTCATTCACATTTATGCTCTGGTAATTAAGTGCTTGTAAGACCAGCAAAATAAGCGTGTAGCATTTTAAAATAACCCACGTTTTACATTAATTATACATCAAGGAAAATGTAAAAACAATACACATATTACAAACGTCTGTAAATATATATTTTTTTTTTTACTCCTAGCGTGCCAAGATACATGTAGGTCTCTTTTTCAGCTGCATGTTGGAGCGTGACATGTTTAAACACAGCATAATATCGTCTCACATTCCGTTAACATCTCATAAGCTAGGAACCGCTCGGGAGTATACTAATAATGCATTTGCAAAGCATTTAAAATACGCGGCAGAATTGCTATTTCTATGGCATCTTGGGAAGAAAAAAAAATCAATGCAGCAATTTTTTTCACCTATTTAATCAGTCCTTTAAATTATAAGCACAGCGCACTGTTTCTACGATAGATAATTGAAGCGCCTTCTCCGTGAGAGGCATCGTCAGCTGAAGCAAACAAAAGCGTCGAACATGTACCGTGCGGAAAATCAAAACAATGGGTTTTCATGTTGCCTTGAATAGCACCAACACGTCAAACTAAACTATTGTTTATTTTACCAGGTAAGGTCCACTATGCTATGTAGCTCTTTTTCAGAAGCGACCTGGCTATCGCAAATCATAGGTTAACGAAGAAGTGGCTTATGTGGAAATTCATAGCAGCCAAATACTCTAAACTCATACTCTTTCAGTCAAGTCACGTAGTAGAAAAATAAATAATAAATCACGCCGTTTCGATCGCGACACAAGCAATCGTCATCAGGTGGTAAGATACAGCAGTAGAACTATTTCTAAATGTGGAGGGAAAAACCGGAGGACTCGTAGAAAATCCACACGACCACGGGGAGAACATGCAAACTCCAAATATACAGGCGTCAGGGTTTGCATTGTAGTGCTGTCATTTGATAAAAGGTCAAATATTTTTGTTGCACATTAATTATACACCTATTTCGTACTCATTTGCGTTCAGTAACTGACGTGGGCAGCAAAAACAGGTTGAGCAAAATGTATGAGCTTGCGCAAATGTTCTTTATAATATTGACTACATGCATTCATTGCATTGTCGCTTCCCTGTTTCATTAAGTAAAAGATGACCACAATGCAGATCGTTTTGTCACACGTATAAATTATGTTTGCAATTACATTTCTACTTACACAAATTATAATGAACAAGAATATACACTGATTAATCTACAAAACTGCCGCCACATATCTTTCATACAAGTCCTTTAGTTACTCACAGCTAAGAGCCCCTTGGGATGGGAGAACGGTGGCACAGTGGGTAGAGCAATGCGCTATGATCCCGACGACCTGAGCTCAATACCTAGCCATAGCCGACAACAGTGGCGAGTGATATCTGAACTGATCATGGGCACCCAGTTCACCAACCTGCACTTACCAGTGTGGTCAAGTAGAATCAAACAACTGCCATGACTAACACGGAAAATAATTATATTAACAGCCTAGCATCTCTTTTTCAAGGGTGGAAAGCCAATGGTATTGGTTTTGTTTCTGTGTGATTATAATGAAGCACACAATATATTGCCATTCCCGCTTGTTGGCACTCGATTTTGACATCCTACATATTGTTGTGAGTGTCCATGTTTCTGATTGATATGACATAGCAGGTAATATGCATATTAGTATGTTGCATTATTTAGTTTCCAAAAGCACTCCATTACTGCTCTCGTTCCCCCCCTTCATTTTAGAATTTTCATCCCAATACGTTGCTCAAGCATTGTTATAGCAACCTTTATGTTAGAGGCCGACCGAAACTGAATTTGTGGTCTCGGCCGAAACCGAAAGTAAAAAATTGACTTTCGGCCGAAACTGAAAGTATACCGAAAGAGGCCATTTGCCAACTTTCGGCACCAAAACCGAAACCGAATTTCGGCCGGCCTCTATGTACATCACTTTGGGTTCACTCATTTGTCTTGAGCACAAATTTCCAGCCTTCTTTGTCACATTCTTCAATCGTACCCTGGAGTTAATAGCTTGCTACGAGGACTGCGTTTGCCAGCCAAAGTGAAGTGGTTAACACACTGTCGTCGCACAGTAAGTTTGCCTTTGTTTCTACAATAATTTTTTTGGAAAACATCTTCTAATGTCACTGTGAATAGCCTTGTTGAGAGCACATCTCCTTTTTCCAACTCCTAAATTGTATATTGCAAAGATCATAAACATTGACACTGACAAACGGAACAAAAATCTGAGAATTACACAAAGAAGCATGGAGAGTGGCGCATGCTTGGGATTACCCTGAGAGGTGGCAAGATAAATGCGTGGATCGGGGAACAAGTGGACATTACCAGACATTGTATTGCAATTTTGAGAGTTAGTGAGCTTGTGCAGGACATTGCTAAAGAAGGAATGTTGGCTGATGGGGAAGATTTGTGATGGAACGGCAGCTAAAGGAGAGAACACACCCAAGAGGATGGCTACCGTGGAGATGGAGTGATGAGATTGGCTCAAGTTCCGGAGCGAGAAGGATTGTATCATATTGGCATCGGGAACAAAAAGAGCTATATAGCTCTTTTTTGTAAGCGACCTGGCCACAAATCATAGCTCAACGAAGTGGCTTATGCGGAACTTTATAGCAGCCAAATAGCTGGTAAAAGAGCATGGCTAATGATAATGACGACATCGTTGGGTACAAGGTAGGGTGTGTCGCTGTGAAGTTGCTTTTCGAAACAATTGATTGCACTGAGGATCTTACCGTGGAGCGTCCGAGTAAGCACTGGGATCCATTGGATCCAGCTCTTCCTTTTCTTTTTTATCCCGACCTGCAACACCATCAAATGTGAATAATAAAATATTAATATTTAACCAAATGTTTGTGCTTCATGATTTCCATGCAGTCCATTGATGGAACTGGAATGGTTTTTGAACAACTCACACCAGGCTATTTTCAAAATGTGTGTGCATAATCAGCAGGCATTGGGGCAAATGTTTGAAATGATGAGATGTATTGCACAACTCTTAATGCTATCCAGGTGTGTGGCACCGTGGCTGAGCACTTGACTCACAATTGGAAGGTTGGAAGTTAAAATCCCTGTCAGTGATCGACTCAAGTCTACCATTCATCCAGTGTTGATAAAGTGAGTACCATATTGCGAGAAGATACCCAAGGCGGTCGTACTGAATCACTGGTGGCGACCATCACGAGAATGTAGAATTTACACCACAGGGACATGATATTGCTGCATTACAAGGGTTGAGAACCCTGACAGTACACCATGAGTGGCGTGTGTGTGAGTAATGTGGGGAGGGATGGGGAGTTACGGAAATGAAGTTTACCGTGCCAGCAAAGCCTTACCACGTTTGCCTTTCTGGTAGGGGGCGGCTTCCTCCCTCCGCTGGAGTCGTCGATCTCTGGCAGCTCTGGGAATCTCGTCCCTGCTGTCCAAGTCGAGCAGTGACGACCGTTCTTGTGCCTCCACAAGAGCGGTCATCGCTACCACCTCCTCCCTCTTCTCCTCTGCAACAAATATTAGCACCGTTGAATCACAATCAAGCCTATAATGGAGAACACGGGGCAATAAAGATAATAACCAGCCCAGTTTGCACACGGTTCAAAGTCTGATTAGTCTGTAATATTGTTGGTGACATTAAATACTCGGTGACAAGTAGGCACAGGCAAGGAAAGAGATGGACTGATTTAGTATAGGAGGAACTGGTGTAGAGTGGGCTTACCACTTTCTGCCACTCGTGGGTTTGACTGTGTAGGAGGGACATGACTTACACTAATTAACAGCCAATAGTGGCAATAGTAAATCAGCAATACAAGGCAGCAAAGCAGTGCTCACAACAGTCTACCGTATAGGCATTTGGAAGAATGGGTAGTGCATCCATCAGTCAATGATGTCTGTTTGCCAAAAATAGCTGGATCTGTTTTGTGACCTGTCAGCAGGCCTTTGCCAAGCCACGTGCAAATAACATAGCACGATTGCCATGCTGGCATCACTGACACTTAGTCAAGAATGGCAGATGTTGTATGTGTGCACTCGAGTGTTAGCCAAGTGGTAAAAAAAAGTGGTCCGCGTAATACATCACAATCCAGGTTACGCAGGTTTAATTCCAAGCAGTGCACAGCATTGGCAATTTGTATACAAACGTGGCTATTGCTCTGTTGACAGCCTAAATTGGCTGCCTGTTGTTGAGGTGTGAAATTATTAACGGACAAGTAACAAAAGTGGCCAGGTTTTTTCGTGTTGGCATCGAAAACCTGAAAGGTGGTCACGAACAGCACTTACCTTATTACATGCATGTAACGTCACCTAAATTTGCCATATAAAAATAGGAAGAAAGAAACTCCCGACAATCGTGTAGATTTGTATCCAAATGGGTAACACAATTGAATAAAATATACCGTAGCGGTCTACTTTCACTCTCCCATTATTGCGATACACCTTAAGGCAGAGCTCTCAACCCAGCCACTCTCTCTTCCTCTCCAGGCTTAACTGAACTCTAACTGCCCTTCCACCCCATTTTTATCTGCCCTTCAATTAATTTAACTCCCTTCACTGCCCTTGGCCCCCTGGATGCCGCGGTGGCTGCCACCTCGTGCTGCCCTGCAGGCTGCTTGAGCCTTTCGAACTTATCGAACTTGTTAGCCACATCAGCGGCTCCGACCTATGAATAAACTCCGCGTTCAAATCCAATAAAAATTTTTTATACATTTGTGGCGCTCATTGGAAAACATTAATACTGATATCTCAGAATATTGAAGTCAGCCCCCCAAAAGTCAAAATCCTGGCTCTGCCCCTGCATGGAATCTAACTCAGGTTGCTGGGTTCAAAGCAAAGTGGACAAAACCACTGTAATACTGCTCCTCGTGCAACAGATGAATGAGGTATCCGCCTTATTTATAGTGCCAAGCTCAAAAAAGATCTAACTTTCATAAATGAGGAGCGCAAATCATGTTTCATTTTGGCTTTGATAAATTAATACCACTTAACACACAAAGGTCATTAATGCGGGCATATTAGAGTACATCATCAAGGAAAGAGAACCGGGCATATGAAAAATTAGGAGACAAACTACGTGATTTGAGAGGCTCGAATGGATTAAAGGAATTAGGGTCAATTATTTCCCATGCTATGTGCTTGAGTTTCTATTAATATATGACAGGATATTTAAATAATTTTATATCAAAGACTAATTAATGTCATTAAATGATTAAACTACACTGGAAAAAAGCACAATTTATGTACTACACTCAATCCTCCAATGGGTCAAGGGGATAGACATTCACTGCTTTGGAATGGATCAGTGTAATAAATTCAGTGTCTGCAGGTTATATGATATTTCTTACCTCCAAGTATCTTTGTGGGTCAAAAATGTAAATTAAATTTAATAAATGATCAAGTGAAAGTGTGCTTGACTAGATATTACGTTGAATTTACAATTAACAACTTAAACTTCAGACTCAATTTAGTGGTGAGTGAGCGAAGCATACTAGTTTGAGTCAGAAGTTCAAGTTCAAAGCCCCTTTAGGTGTCAACTAGTGCAATTATCCCTATGGGGTAGATAAACCAATTATTTTCTGAGATGTAACCATTGGTCATCCCCAGAACAAACATAAGAACATGGAATTTCAACCGAATTGTTTGCTTGTGTTTATTCATTTATTTCAGGTATCAGAGTTATATGGTGGACGGTGATCCATCTACCGAGCAGTCTACAGTTATTCATTAGATTTCTGTAGCCCGTCAGTAATAACTGGGAATATTTACAAAAGGGCATACCAACCTGCTGTAAAAAGAACGATACAGATCACGTGTGGCGGTAACTATGTAATTGTGAGGATGCGATTAACCTACTCGGCGGCTCTGGGCATTCTAATTGCGTGAAATATATTTTTGCCAGCTATTTCCTAATTAGCCGCTCAAATTTGAGGAAGACTAGCTTCGAAACCAACTGTAACTTCGTTAACGGCTCAACGAAAAACTATGATTATAATGTAAAAAATATCATGCTAAATAAGCATTCATATTACAGTGCAGATAGCAAGTCCAAATATTACAGAATATATATACACTTGTATAAAAATGTGATCTTGAACTCTGAACTTGAGTACCGACAATTGCAGGGGAGCAAAGTGAAACGGTCCAGCGTGGCGTTGAACACAATAAAAAAAACATTTCAGGAAATTATAAATTCCACAATGAAAAGCAGCGCAAAAGGGTGACGTGGTGCAAAACGCTTCGTTACAGTGGAGGTCACACGGCATTGATGAAAAACTTCCATTTTAACTAGAAACCAGGCTGGCATAGATCATTATGAAATAGTGACCCGTGGTTCCGAGGGTAGCCATTCCTTTTGAAAGAATTGTACGTTATTGGAGCCGGCTGCCCATCTGAATCAATTGGCTCGTTAAAGCAGAAAGACGAATCTGTGGTAAGCCAACAATGTGTTTGGGAATGCTCCGATAGGGAAGAAAGAATCATGATAGAGATAGTAGTCTACGTGGTTAGTTTTATTAGTAGCTGAATACGTGTGTAATGACCGAAATTACAGATCACTTACCCGAAGCAAACAAACAGACTACCAGAAAACAGACCAAGGCCTCCATCATGAATGGTCGGGAGGCAAGGTTCAAAGAGATTGGAGGACATACTCTTTGGTTCTATTCGGTAAAGTCACGTAGGTAAAAAATAAAACAAAAATCACGACGTTTTGGCCACAACACAAGCGGCCTTCATCAGGTGAAGGGACCAGGCTGTCTCGAGGACAGCGCTGGAGTGAAACACAGCCACGCTCAGACCGTGACCTTTAAGCTGTGTGCGAGGAAACAAGGTGCCTTGACAAAGGAATTAGCATAAAAATTAGCATTTGATTGGCCGACTTTGCATGATGAACGGTGTAGAGGTGGTGTACATGCGGGTGAACATGCCGGTTGGCGAGGGGGGGAGTTTACCTATTGATGGTGTGAAAAGGGATTTTTTTAAGAGCTGCGAAAGTTTGGGGTACCACTACTTGAAAAATATACTGTACCATTGAAAATTAGTTTAATGTTTGGTTCAATTTAGAACATATTTCCAATGGTTGCTTAATTTGAAACCATCTTCTCGGTTGAAATTGTGTCTGTTTGTAGATCTGAATTGCCTCGTGAACAAATCTCTGATAAAAACCCGTGGGTTTGCAAAGAACCTTGGTATTGGAGAAAATTATATCGTGATCACCCACAGTGTTGTAACAGTGATCAGCTACGGCAGAAGAATTCGTTCTGCTGTGTTTCAAATCTGATTTGTGCTCGCGAATTCGGTCAGAGACATGTCGCTTTGTCTCCCCGATATAGCAATCACCGCAGGTACAACTCAATTTGTAAACCCCCGGGGTACTGTAAGTCAGGAATGACATCCTTCACGGATGGGATCAGATCACGCATTTTGTGTACTGTATTGAACCGGACCAGGATCTTGTGTTTGTTTAGAATTTTGGAAATCTTTTTAGTAACGCCTGCTATATATGACCGAAAAAGGCAGGAAGCAGGTTTGAGAGTTGAGGCGACGATTGAGAACCGTTGGGGCAGGAGGGTGAGGATTGGACGAGGAGAGTGGGGTGAGCGAGGGTTCGAGAAGGGGAGCTCAGAAGGGGGTATAAAGGGGGAAAGCACAAGGGGGAGGGGGATGAGCTACAATATCAAGAACGAAGCCCAGGCCTAGTGTTGGTGCTGTGTCCAATAAAAGGCTCCGGGTAGCAACATGTGTCGGCGTCATTACACTTGCATTCAAAGAGAGAGGTTAACAAGGGTAAAATGGGATGTGATTCATCTACAACAACTGATGTTCAGTGTTCTGTCCCAATAACTGCTAGATGTACTTCTCACACAGGCAATCACAATATTATTAAGACATGCTGAGGCAGGGTGACTCAGGATGTTAGGGTTTTGCCCATAGCAGTCAGTCAAATATCCTGGATATGGATCCTAGACTTATCCCTAATATAAAAAAAACCTACTTACAGAAAACGTGAGGGTCTTAGTAACATTTCTCACAATACAGTTATTGTAAATTTCAGTTTAAAATGTATTTGATCAATCCATGTTTGTCCAGGAAACTCTTCGTCAATCCATTGGTCGAGGAAAGCCTCCCCAAGTCATTTCCATTTCTAATGATCCTGAAATTGAATAGTACACCTGGCACCTGCACACAATTCGATTTCATTGCTCCATCTCCAAAGTTGACATCCTCTCAGATGCATCCCATTTTTTGGATGCTACTCACGTCATTATTCTTGATCATCAGCAATAAATAAAAATCCTTTTGAAAATCTTTCCAGAGTCTCCATAGACAGATCTTGTTTGGGATATTAGACCAATTAATTTGAGCATACTGTATGCACAATAAGAATCATCAAAGTGCAGATATGTAGGAAACCACTACAGAGCGACTAAACAAATTACTTCTTCTTCGTGTCTCCTGTCCAACCTAAATGGGTCTTTGCCCAATATTCTGCACAGGCTACCGCTACTGGTGTTGGCATGGCCAGATCTTGAGGAGTGCATTGTGGTGCTGCAGGGCATCTCAGGAGATGATCCACGGTTTGCTCCTCCTGACAAGCATATTGTTCGGTTGCGCAGAAGCCTCACATGATTACATGAGACTTAAAGCTTTCGTGACTGCAGGAACTCACTCTTTGGGTCTTTCGGTAAAGCCACGTATATAGAAAAATTATACAAATGATAAAAAATAAAATAAAAAAATATTTAAAAAGTTTTTTCTATCTACGTGGTTTTACCGAAAGACCCAAAGAGTATGGATTACATGAGAGTTGTATCTGCCGAAACCCACTCTCAGTCTGTTTAGGCTCTGCCATGCGAGCAATTCGGAATTGGAGCCGGATGCGAGCTCCTCACTGGGGATGATTAGTCGCCGGCTCCATTCAGCGGTTGTCACTTGCTTTTTCCCATTCTTTTTGCCAGAGGGAAGTTCTGGCAGATTCCAGTGATGTGGTAAGTGGTACAGTGGAGCACAAGAAGCTGTTTCTCAATGACAGATGATAGTGTGCTGGCTGATGGTCATGTAGCGGATGACGGACGTCCCACCCCATGACTTTCCGTTCCTGGTCACCTGCTACCCTACTCCTGATGTTAGAGGGCGCTATACCAGATGATTCTGCACGTGTCATTTAGGGTGGTGTCGACATGTTTACTGTGGGTTGAGCATCCCCAGGTAGAGCATGCATATTCAGCCATAGAGAAACAAAGTGCTAAGGCAGTGGTGCGTAGAGTGGATGGATGTGCTCCCCACTTTGAATTTGCGAACTTTTGCAGAATGTTGTTTCGTATGTCGACCTTGGCTTTGGTATTTAAAGTGTGCTTTTTGTAGCTGAGTATACGATCCAGTGTTACCCCGAGGTGCACTGGGTGACTCTAGTGTTCGAGGCTCTAGTCTCCCCAGTTTCTCAGGTGGAAGGCACAGATTTGGATTTTACTCGGGTTGGGTTTGAGATGATTATGAGAAAATGACTCATGAGAAAATGACTCAATCTGTAAAGATGAACAACTGTATAAGACTGGAAATGCACGTGACATTATCTCTGGTCATTACAAATTATGTGGCTATATTGTAGCAACAATATACTGAGTGGAAAAAAATGTGGACTGTGTATCCATGCCAACAGCACAATTAACATATAATTGTAGAATGCCACATCCAAATATTTCACAGCAGTAAATTACATTTACATAGTGTGGAACTACCATACTACAAAATTAAGGTAGCATTGACCTTCCCAAACAATTTTCTATTTATTATAAAAAAAATTACTCCCTAAACGAAATTTAAATTTGTACACTTAAATTGTTCTTCATTGTGAATTTCAGATTCAATACTCTTTACAGGAAAGTCAGTTTCATTTATATATATAAAAAAAAATTACCTCCAAAAATGTATTATTATACATTTTAACAAAGTGCCTGTGGCTTTTTAGAATTAATAAGAAGTTTGCTTTCAGTTTGATTGTGTTCCTTGAAAAAAGGGTAATAACCGTGTGTGCATGAAGAGTGTAGGCAATGCAATACTCAACCAGTCGCCGGAATCTTTTTGGCTGCCTTGGTGATAACTGCCAGGGGGTCTGCCGGGGCCAGCCACGACACCATGTCGGTCTCTGCGTTCCAGTAGTACGGCAAGCGGCTGCACAAGTTCACGCCCATTAGTAAAAACGCACACACGGACATGTCTTTTTATCAGCATGTCTTCATTATAAACGATAGAGCGTTAATGGAAAAAGCCAATAACCAATCCTGGTTGTTGTTAATGGTTGTTTATGAAAGTATTGAACAAACAGCTTGCCCGATATGTTTTTGGGTAATTTATATACACTTTGCCATAGGACACGACACAAGACACAATTGGGAATGCTGTTGAAAATAATGTAGGGTTTTTACGCGTTATATATTAGTACGTTATATATATAAAACTCTGGTACACACAAGAGTTGCCAATAAAAAGACATTGCAAAATGTATAAGTCTATGCCTTCAGAAAGTAGAAAATGCTAAGTATGCACTTGTAAAACTACTACTACCCTAAAGTGGATGTAAAGACTACGTTACATCAGTTATTATTCAATTATTTTCCGATGCCAGAGCCAAAAATTTGGAAATGTACCCATAAATGCATTTCAATATTATTCAATGTAAAACAAATAGATGCAATGAAAGGAAGATGTATATTAAGTCTACACAAGAGCATAAGCTTAATTAAAATAAAATAAGCAATCTCCGTGTTCATCATTACCACTTCCTTATAAGAAACATATACTCCAATAGCCCAAAATATCAGTGTATTATTATTTGCTTTTCAAAGGCAATCTTAATTATAAATGCAACATTTGTTGTTGTGCTTGTGCAATAATGCTGTCTGTTTAATGTTTGTATCTGTAATTAGCCAATATTGCATGGAAATGTACAATGCACATTATCGTTCTTATAGCAATAGTATTATGGTAAGAGAACGAATATAATTACCTGTCTGGGTCAACTACTTTGTACCAGTTGAGTGGTAAGTTTTCATTCTTTGTAGATTCATAATCAATTTCATTCTCATCATAATCTTCCGCTATAATTTCTTCATCTGCTTCTATAAAAAAAACATACAATACGCTTAATATTCAGAAACTACACAATACAGAGACGTCATCGAACAAGTCACAGAGCGAGTGAAAAAATGTGTCCAATTAAATATGAAATTTAGCCCAGATTTTCAGCACAAAAATGTACTGTTTTACAAATTCCTACCAATAAAAAGTTCAAAAGTGGTTTGCAGCAGCTTGGTAGCTGATGGTGAATGGTTAAACAAACCCCCATAACTGACAGTACAAGGTCTTCATCCAACAGTGGATTTGAAAACTGTGAATCATTATCATTACAGTGAGGGAAAAAGTATTTGATCCCCTGCTGATTTTGTACGTTTGCCCACTGACAAATAAATGATCAGTCTATAATTTTAATGGTAGGTTTATTTGAACAGTGAGAGACAGAATAACAACAACACAATCCAGAAAAACTCATGTCAAAAATGTTATAAATTGATTTGCATTTTAATGAGGGAAATAAGTATTTGACCCCTCTGCAAAACATGACTTAGTACTTGGTGGCAAACCCCTTGTTGGCAATCACAGAGGTCAGACGTTTTTTGTAGTAGGCCACCAGGTTTGCACACATCTCAGGAGGGATTTTGTCCCACTCCTCTTTGCAGATCTTCTCCAAGTCATTGAGGTTTCGAGGCTGACGTTTGGCAACTCGAACCTTCAGCTCCCTCCACAGATTTTATATGGGATTAAGGTCTGGAGACTGGCTAGGCCACTCCAGGACCTCAATGTGCTTCTTCTTGAGCCACTCCTTTGTTGACTTGGCCGTGTATTTTGGGTCATTGTCATGCTGGAATACCCATCCACGACCCATTTTCAATGCCCTGGCTGAGGGAAGGAGGTTCTCACCCAAGATTTGACGGTACATGGCCCGTCCATCGTCCCTTTGATGCGGTGAAGTTGTCATGTCCCCTTAAGAGAAAAACTCCCCCAAAGCATAACGTTTCCACCCCCATGTTTGACGGTGGGGATGGTATTCTTGGGGTCATAGGCAGCATTCCTCCTCCTCCAAACACGGCGAGTTGAGTTGATGCCAAAGAGCTCCATTTTGGTCTCATCTGACCACAACACTTTCATCCAGCTGTCCTCTGAATCATTCAGATGTTCATTGGCAAACTTTAGACGGGCATGTATATGTGCTTTTTTGAGCAGGGGGACCTTGCGGTCGCTGCAGGATTTCAGTCCTTCACGGCGTAGTGTATTACCAATTGTTTTCTTGATGACTATGATCCCAGCTGCCTTGAGATCATTGACAAGATCCTTCCGTGTAGATCTGGGCTGATTCCTCATCGTTCTGATGATCATTGCAACTCCACGAGGTGAGATCTTGCATGGAGTCCCAGGCCGAGGGAGATTGACAGTTCTTTTGTCTTTCTTCCATTTGCGAATAATCGCACCAACTGTTGTCACCTTCTCACCAAGCTGCTTGGCAATGGTCTTGTAGCCCATTCCAGCCTTCTGTAGGTCTACAATCTTGTCCCTGACATCCTTGGAGCTTTGGTCTTGGCCATGGTGGAGAGTTCGGAATCTGATTGATTGATTGCTTCTGTGGACAGGTGCCTTTTATACAGGTAACAAGCTGAGCTTAGGAGCACTCCCTTTAAGAGTGTGCTCCTAATCTCAGCTGTATAAAAGACACCTGGGAGCCAGAAATCTTTCTGATCGAGAGGGGGTCAAATACTTATTTCCCTCATTAAAATGCAAATCAATTATAACATTTTTGACATGCGTTTTTCTGGATTTTTTTGTTATTCTGTCTCTCACTGTTCAAATAAACCTACCATTAAAATTATAGACTGATCATTTCTTTGTCATTGGGCAAACGTACAAAATCAGCAGGGGATCAAATACTTTTTTCCCTCACTGTACATCGTTACCATCTCAACATCACTCAATATTCTCAGTGGATGTCATCTCGGACACTTTACATTCCTTGACTTCCATTACTCTTGACCAACTGCCATGCTCCTTTATAGAGACCAGCCATGCTAATACCAAATTACTTCATCTGGTGTTATCGATTAAAAGTTATTCTTTTGATAGTCAACTTGTAACCACTTCTTTTTACTACGTCAACATAGTTTCATCCCATCAAAAAAATGCCATCTGCAGTAATGTTTTAAAATCACGCATGCTGAGCACAGGCTAAAGGCCCGAAACCTTTCGTGACAAGCAACAAAGCGAAATATTAAAGGTGCGGTGAATAAAAATTAATACGTTTCTTGATTAGAGAAAGGTTGTAATGTCTCATCAGCAGCGTGTGTTCCCATTGATTCAATCAGCAGCTCTTAACCTTTTAGACCCCAATCAACAATCAAGACCACCGATCCCCCCCTGCACCCCCCCCCCGCCCCTCCTGTTTTTGGACAAGAGACAAAATCCACCATAGGTTAAAGCTTAAAACAGTAGCAGTATGTGCTGCATTGTTAGAAAGTCCAGAAATTATATATATATACACAATAGCGGCAGTCGCTGCATAAACGTGTTGAGAAGTCAGTATGATAAATTCATATGCTGCTCAGTCTTGATCGAGTGCAGGATGTGGTGTCGTGACACTCCATTCAATAAGCCTACAGGCTACTTGACCCCTGCATTTGTAATTTCTCCTGCACGGTATCCAAACCGTAGCCTGACAGGGGTTGAGGACCACGCTGGATTAATCCAACGCTGGGCTCTTTCCTGCATCACACGGCGCTGCAAGACAACGGGGATGGGGGGGGGTCGGCGGCGCCGCCGCCGCCGCCTCTGCGGCAGAGGCTTCTAGCCGAGGCCGGTACACCCCGGGGAAGGCCTGCGGTCAAAAAATAAATTTAAAAAAAGGCCACGTCCCCAGCAGCGGGGGCAATTGCAGCCTCACCTGACAGCACGTTCTTGAGCAGGCCGCGTTTGGCCAGGCGCGCCTGTAACGCGGGCGGGAGAGGCATGGCGTTGACGCTGGGTAGCCGCGGAGCGCCTCGGCGGTGCGGCCTCAGTAACTCGGCCCCAAGAGGGTTGGCTACGGGTGCCGCGTGGGCCAAGAGGGAGGTGGGGTTGGTACGGGGACATTCGCAAACGCGTTTGCGAATTGAGTCAAACCACCTGCAGGGAAGTTGAGTGGTTATCAACCTGATTTTAACCCCGCTTGTTGAATTGTTTTAGCCGAGTGTAACCACCTCCCTTTGCCTGACTCAACATAATACGTGTCAACCCATCACGGTTTATCCCGTCATCTTGTACAGGGAGATTGAGTTTTCAGGTCCATACGGCGTACAGCCGTTTCAATAGGGCAACAACGAAACGTGTTTTTGTCTTTCGATTTAAAGCTTTCGTGACTGCAGAATGCCATGTGTTTATAACGATAAAAAACTATACATTCGCAATAACGCTGCTTTAAAAGCATGTGTGTGCTGAAGTGCCATTGCTCGAAACGTCGCCGATTATTGACGAATGTCTCGTTGCTTTTGGATGTTTTTGCATAACTGCAAATGCATCACCAAATAATTGATCATTGTATTTGTTTATCAAGGAAATTCTCAAATTATCGTATGAAGAGTATAGCATGCTGGCAAAGTATGGTACAGTATGCAGGAAGGCCAATTCCGTTCCATGCAGTGTAACTGCGAGTAAACTTGAGGATATTGTGACGTGATTTGACACACGATACGCTTAATAAAAATGCTAAATACGGTAAAGGTTTTCCGAGTTGCATCTGTACCCTGATGGCACATTCATGATGAAGCACAACATTCATGCCATCAACTCAGGGCCACTGAACACCAGATTGAGTCAGACTCTCACAGCCAACTCGAACAAACCCAGCATTAGCCCAGTGCTGAGATTATCAGCCGTGTTCAATCCACTGCTGGATGCAATTTGATCTCATATACTTTATTTATATTTGGCCATGAGCTTATCTTTCCTATACTTTGTACTCTTATAGTTTTTTTTGTTTGTATTGTTTGTTGTTGTTGTTGTAACTTTGTGGCCCGCCCGTACTGGACATCTGTGAGAAAGAGCTTCATAGCTCATCGGATTTCTCCAAGCTCAGCTGATCGTGACGTCACCGCGGGCCAGCCACATCGATTCAGCGATTCCAATTTTGAGTTTATTCTTTAGCTCACGATACAATGTCTAGGCTCGTGCGCGTAAAAAAATATCATCTTTAATTGATCTTGTATACAACTTATACGCTAATTATATGCCTACGTCACACACGCGGCTCGTAACGAAGGAGGCTGAATAAGACAAATGAAGGGTCGCAAAACAAGGAATCGATTCCTCGACGAAGTTCGCGCTGTGTGGGAGAATCACGATAGAGGAATCGACGTGAGGGCCGCCATGGAGGAGTACGCTCGGGAGCCGTGGTAAAGAGGAAACTTTTGACAAACATAACAACAGCAGCACCAGCAGCAGCTGCGATAGTTACAAAAAAATAAAGACAACAACGATCGTGTTAACGCGTCGCGATGAAAACAAACGCTCGCACGTTGCAGCACTGAGCGCGCTGTGGTTACCGATGAGACGCTGGCGGAGATTCGGTGACGATGAGCGGCTGCCTTAAGTGTTCTTCTGGCTGTCGTAGCTACCATGCCGTCGATAAAGTGTTACGAAGTTCAGCGGCGTGTGTGCGATGTCAACGCCTGTGCGGTGCCGTGCCGCCGTTCGTGTTGTAACGCATGCCCGGTGTTGCGGGGGGGGAAGGGAAAACTTTTATACTTGTAGGGACGAAGTTATAAACTGAGTGTACCAGCCTGCAATAGATTAATGTGTCCGTCCGTCCCCTTTAAGTACTTTAACGAAGTGAAATCTCGTGCTGTTGGGTGTAAAATCAGCAATAGACAGCGCAGAGACTTGATATGTCTTATAAAATTGCGCAAAATTTCAATGTTCCTACCAGCCCACCCTGCAAGGACCTGTCATGGTGATATATGACAAGTCACGTGACCATTTTGATCTTGGTCAAATTATGCTCCTTTTTTAAGTTGCTATTTTTCCACATTATTGGCTGATAATGTTTGAAATGTATATTGAGTCACACTTGGACACATTTACTGCGAAAATTTGAGTCGAGTCAACTTTTTATGTAAAGTTATCTCTCACACTGGTTATGGTATTTTATAAGTCCTAAGTAATATTCAGTCACAATCACATCTGAGCAGAGATGTGTACCTATACACATCACACAGGATGGTCAACCTTTTACATAAATACACATAACCTACAGATGTGCTTGCACACCAAAGTGCTTAATGTGTCCGTCCCCTTTCAATACTTTAACGAAGTGAAATATCGTGCTGTTGGGGTGTAAAATCAGCAATAGACAGCGCAGAGACTTGATATGTCTTATTGCACCCAACATTTGGAAGTAACAGTGTCATAAAATTGCGCAAAATTCCAAATACCAGCCCACCCTGCAGCGACCTGTTAACACAAAACGCAGTTAAATTTCGATTTGAAGATTTCGTGACTGCAGGGATTCATCTTCTGGGGGTTCTTTCGGTAAAGTCACCACTTAGAATGGGAATAATAAAATAATAATTTTAAAAAAATTATAATAACAAAACGCAGTTCCAGAGAAAGTAGTTTTCGATTTTACAGATTAAAAAGAGAAACCCACTGTGGTGTAATTGTTGTTCGTCGGATTGTTGTTATTGTATTGCAGTCGCGAATGGAAAATAGTAAAGGCGATGCTAAGGGGCCGTCCATAAATGACGTCACGCACCTAGGACGATGTGTGACGAGGAGGAGGGGGGTTGAGAAATGTGACGTCACTTTAAAATGCGCAACTTTACATAAAAATAGACAACACGTTCTACTTAATTAAATAGACTTTTTTAAAATAAATGTTTCCTCCTACAACATCAGAGTGCAGCGGCACATTAAATACGCACTACAATGACAATAGTTTAAAGCGATTTGAAGCATGTTTTATTTATTTTGGGGGTGGGGGGGGGGGAGCAGAGCTTTGTGACGTCATATGTGATGATTTTTTGTGACGCCGTGTGACGAGGGGGGGGGGGTCAAAAATCGTCCAAAATCGCGTGACGTCATTTATGGACGGCCCCTCAGGTTGACCGCGTAGTACTTTTACGAATCTCTCTCCCTGTCCCAGCCCCTTTATGGAGGTCCATGACCTTCCCGCAGCAGTCCTCCACTGAGCGATCAACATGTACAGGGGTCGGCAACGGGAATAACTAAGATGAGACACATTCTTGTCCGATATGCCAAGTGCCGCGGTGCGTGTGGGTGAATACGAGACGGTCCTTAATAACGAACGTCACGAAGGAGTCCTTAAAGAGCCGCGGGTTTGGACATCTGTGAAAAAGAGCTTCATAGCTCATCGGATTCCTCCAGTGTCAATATATATTCTGATTCAGCCGACCCACGATCTTGTCCCATCTGTTGCTGATGTTTCCCTGTTACTCCTCCATTACAGTGCCTCTTCCGCTAGCCCTCCACTCCATCGATCCAACCTATTTTTTGTTCATCCTCTGTCTAATTACTTCAACTAGCATTGCCATGTTTCTTATTTCGCTGCATTCTTGTTTGGTGACATTCATCGGACATGACCATCCTGGAGAAGTCTGCATTCCGCATGTCCTCTACGAGGTTCATTCCATCTTAAAGTTGTGTCTAATGCCTCCCTTGCTTGTTCAGTCAAACCTTATTTCTCTTGATGTTTTCCGTAACTGGCAGACTATTAGCTTGTTTTCTTTGCATACAAGTGTGTTGTCCATATAGCACTGCCGTTGTTACTAAGGTTTCAGACGCATACTTTAATTTTCGTTGTTTTTTTTTTGCTGTCTTTTACATATTATCTACCTGCACCAATATGCCCAGACGTAATTTTATCCTCCACGTAATTTGTACATCCTCCAGATTCAGAAATAAAACCACCAAGGTAAGCAAATCATGACACTTGTTCAACGATTACTAATTGGCTGTTAATTAACACTGGCAGCATGTCCAATACGAGCAATATGAAGTAGGTACAGATAGTCCCCGAGTTACACTGGTCCGACTTACGATCTCACGATAGCGATACGACAAAATTGTAAAACATTTTACTGGTAGGAAAAGTAGTGGACTGGAAGTCCAACCGGGATTAATTCACAGGAGGCAGGGGATTAATTGTGTATGTCTGTGGATGTCTGTCCACGTGGGAGGGGTGGGGCTGGGTGGACAGGGGAGGGTAGGGAGGGGCTGGGTGGGGAGGGTGTGGGTGGGTGGGGCTCGGTGGGGAGGGGCTGGTCACCCCGTGGTGCCCTTATAAAACTCAACGTTTAACCTACTCACGCCGGCTTGTGCCCGCCCTCACAGTCGGGCATATTTGCGGAATACACCACACCGCTGTTGACCCTGGCCATTGACCGAGCAACCCAACGTTCCTACCAGCTCCCTCCGCAGGAATGTGTTTGTGTATGTCTGTGGATGTCTGTCCACGTGTATCCGGACACCCGGATATATAACAAATGCGCTCCTAGTGGGCATTACTGGTAGGAAACGTAGTGGACTGGAAGCCCAACCGGGATTCTCACAGGAGGCAGGGGATTAATTGTGTATGTCTGTGGATGTCTGTCCACGTGTATCCGGACATTCGGATATAAAAAATGGGAGGGGTGGGGCTGGGTGGAGAGGGGAGGGTAGGGAGGTGCTGGGTGGGGAGGGTGGGGAGGGGCTGGGTGGGGGTTGGGGAGGATGGGACTTGGTGGGGGTTGGGTGGGGCTGGGTGGGGCTGGGTGAGGAGGGGCTGGTCACCCCGTGGTGCCCTTATAAAACTCAACGTTTAACCTACTCACGCCGGCTTGTGCCCGCCCTCACAGTCGGGCATATTTGCGGAATACACCACGCCGCCGTTGACCCTGGCCACTGACCGAGCAACCAACGTTCCTACCAGCTCCCTCTGCAGGAATGTGTTAAATTTCGCGCGGCAGGCAAACGCAACAGCATACGAGGTACGATAATGTACGTTGGGACGCTGCCGGGATGTACACATGTTAAAAGTTTTTTTTTATAGCAGATAGGATTTTTCCTGAAAAAACTATTAAATTGCAGTTCATATAGGTAGGCTTAGAATTTTCCTTGTTTTTTACTTTACATTTTACTGTGCAATACAGTATTGTAATTCATACAGTATATAGTTTATACAGTACGGTACTGTAAATTGCTCGGTTTTGCTAAATTATCACCATTCTATAAGACTTCTGGGTAGGCTAGGCCATCTTCGACTTACGATATTTTTGACTTACGATGGGGTCGTCGTAACGCATCTCCATCGTAAGTCGAGGACTACCAGTCCTAATTCATGATCGTTGTCACGTCATCAGCCATTTTCTATCCACTACTGGATGAAGGCCTCCTTATACTCTTACCATCCTTCATGATCCTGTGATAGCACAATCTCCTGCACATGCGCATATCAGCTCCATCTCCACGGTGGTCGCGTCCTCTCAGGCGTACTCTCTCCTTCGTCTGCCATTTCATCAGCCATTCAATGTCTTACATTACACATTGACTACGATAATATGTCCTGTCATAGGAAGTGCATTCACACAGTGTCTAGTGCGTGTGGAACGGTGAGTTTGCCGCTTGCTGTGCAAAACATCTGTGCCGCACTATGAAGAGATGAACGCTTGTCACAATGGTTATATCGACAATCTCCAGGTTGTACATTAATGAAACCCAGATATTACTGGGCAGTACGTAAGCTGGGTATTGTCGGACATTGCTGCAACTGCAAAACCATTATTCCAAAGTGCATATTGGGTTTTACGAAAGATGGCAGAAAATCCGTTACATGACTAAATTACAAAAAGTACATTACAGTTATTAAAACATAAAACGCAGGTGCATCGCAGACAAGGGATTTTTTTTTACTCCTTTTGATTATTGTAGTTTATAATAGTCATTAGCAGTTATGTATAACACTTAAAATAGTTTGTGGGAATGTTCAATTCAAAAAGTCTAAACTTCATGGGCTGGCACCCATTCCGATTGGAAGCTGAGAGTCACTATCGGAAAATCCCCATTCCTCTAGCAAAGGAAAGTCTCAACATTTAATGACTGATTTTAAAATAACTTTTATATTTTCATATTGACTATAGTTGTGGATAGGGGGATATAAAGTCAGTAATTGATGTGGATGATTATTCTGATATGCTGTTCATGTTTAGGCTGTGGGTCAATATACTATGAACACCAAAATAGCTTTTCATTTGTATATTGTATATTTTGAATTGCTTGTGAACACAAGCAGGCATGCATATCCCTGTCAGGCACTGTAAGCTAATGGTGTGTAAAGCATCAGTTTTGACAAAGGTACAGTCCAAGTGTCTTGTATGTATAACCCAATTTGTGTGTAGCGAATATTTCGGAAATCCAATCTCAAGGAAACGAGACTTAAGTTATTTTTGGACCAGTAGATGATGTAATCACATCCCTATCTTCACGTCTGTAAACACAATGATAACTCTTGTTAGTAACATTTAAACACTGATATACTGTGACTGCTGTCCGCCACTTTTTTATTGTTTTATAAATTGTATGCAGATGAGAACGTGCCTTTGGCTAGTGAATCCAACATACAATCGTCAATACTGTTGAAAATTAGGGGTTTTAAGTACAAATTGAATGGTTGGCAAGGTGAATCACGAATGTCTAAAGTGTAATGAACTTAATATGCAAGAGCAGGAAGTGGGAGTGCTGACCACAGTGCCAGCACGAGCCAAGCATATTCAAGGTCAGAGTGTCTCCATGCTCAACTGAGCAATGGAGGGGATGCTCATCTCGATTGGTGAGACACTTTCTCTGTAGGAAAACAACAAAAGCTCAACACATTCGTCAATAGCACTGCCTTAAAAGGAAACGATATAATATGCAACGTTTTGGGCAATGACCCATCTTCATAGCACATACATTCTGAGCCTTCATATTTAAGTAAAATATTGAGGTATAGTCGTGATCATAGGAACATTTAAAAATGTGTCAGTGGCGCTTTCACATATTAGGCAGGTTTTGGTTCCATTTTAACAAATATTTTAAAAAAAATTCATTTGTTGTAGTCACTTGATGTTCAAAACTATGAGTAAGTTATATCCAAAAATGTATAGCTTGCAAAGTTTAAAATGATTCATAAGTGTCATTTGAGTCTTTATTTTTTGCACACCCTTTGTTGTCAGCTGTGTGTTTACGTGCATCACATGCTCGATGTGAAGGTGCAAAAATAACCTGCTTTCGTGTAACGTGATGCGCTTCCAGCATAGTGTGATTTGAGCAATGCCACTGGCAAGTGTGGTTGTAACAGCAGATGGCTCAATAATTTGAATTACTGTGACCACATCCCTCCCAGTTAGCCAGGAAAACTTTTTTATCTTTTATTCAGCCCCCTCTCTTTCCACCGTATATCCAAATTTATCTCGATTTTTCGCTTTGTCTCTATAGCTGGTTATTCCTGCCCCCTCTTCTACCTCTCCCGCTGTATTCCTCTCCTCCCTCCACTGTACCTCATCCACTTACCTCCCCCCTATCTCTCCCTTTTTCTCTCACCTCTCACTCTCCTGATTCCTAGCTCTCCCTTTCCCATCTCAATCTCTATTGCCTCTCCATAATCCGCCCTCCCACGGCGTGGCGCTTTCCCTCGCTCTTTCCATTTTTCCTCTCTCTTTTTCCTCTCCGTTTCACGCCCTTGCACTTTCTCCCCTCCCCTCTCATCTGTGTTCCTCTCCACCTCTTCCTCCCTCTATTTTCCTCCATCACCTGCCTCTGTCTCCTCTATTCAATTTGCTTGGCATACACGGCTCGTGTGAAGGGCGGTCGGGGGGCGGTATGACATCAGCACGACGCACGAACCTGGCTCAATACTGTGGGATGCAGGTGATGTCTACGTGCAGATGTGAACGGTGGTGTCACCACCGCACACTTGGCCATGCGCCAGCCAGGAATTCAGTTAGAAATCCAGCCAGCAAACTTTTTTTTTCTAATATATAAAGAGAATGCTTGGTCGACTCCTGCCACGTAGGTGCATGCCTATTCATTAAATGCTCGACATGATGTGCTGCAGCCCTGCACACATTGGAATTGCATTTCACCTGCACGTGTTGTTCATGTATAACATATATACTTATGATCAATTCAAGCTCAGCTTTTCCATCGAGGGAAATAATACCATCCCTTGGCAATGAGCTAAGTGAACCAGGGAACCAGAGTGAAAATGAATGTGGGATTTTTCAGCACCAGCAGTGCGTATTTGCTCTGACACTCGGTGTTGAAATTCTCTTCCCCGGACCAAAAAACTATAATCACACCACAATTCCTTTACGACAAGAGCCTTCAGGGGACAGGGAACAGTACAATTGGGTCGACAGTGGCAATCAGGATGTGCCGTAACTCGGATTAACAGACTGTGCTTCCAAATGGCAAGGGGATTAACTTAGTGTCATTGAAGCCTCCAGACCCAGCTTTGCATTGATCAGATATTTTTCCCCAATACTTGGCTCCAAGAAAAATGTGATGTCGTTTTTCCCTGAAGGCTCGATTCTGCGATTTGATAAAACCAACTTGACCTTCCTGGTGCAGATACAAAAAAATCACTTATTATCACCGTACTTCCAGAATTCACTCTTCCGATTACATTCCATGAACCAGCCACGTCAGAATATTTACTTCCAGTTTGCAAAAGGAAATCAAATATCAAAATCAAAGTAAGATCATGGTCTTGAAATTTTAAGTTATAGTCGAATTATCTATGTTAGATGTGAGTGAGTTGCATTATAGTTTATCACTTTTTAAGTGCATTCATAATTACATTTCATTCGCGAACTATGACGATTGTTAATGTTCTTAAAGTATACCAGCTTCCATTCGTAAAAAGTAATTTGTTTGCAACAATGCAAAGTGTTAAGTTTGCCAGTTATAATTTAAATAGTACACTATGTGCATATTTTATTGAGGATATTTGTAGGGATGTGGATATGTGAACTCGGCTCATAAAACTGTCACCATAGTTAAGCTACATCATAAAATTCCTGTCAAAATGTTTATCTAATTTAAACGTTCAAACTATTGTATTGGATTCTTTTTTGGCAAATATTCAAATATCTCAAGCAACTTCAGTACATTCGACTGTATGCAACGGTGTAAGCAGCTGCATTTATTTACAAGTCAGTCCTTGGCCTCGCATTGCCTTGCCATCGTTACAGCCATCACGTGCCTGTGTTTGAGTGACGTTTTCTGCCATCGGCAGCCCGTGGCGGATCGTGGATGACTGCGGAGGGGCCTTCACGATGGGGGCCATCGGGGGAGGCATCTTTCAGTGCATCAAGGGCTTCCGAAATGCGCCTGTGGTACGTGTGCCGTCCCTCGGCAAAACAGTGGGATGCCTGCGGAACGATCTGACCTTGTGGCAGACACCAGGTGGTGCAAAACGCAAACGTAGGGAATTGCTACGCCGCCCACAATGTTCCACGGTTTTGATAATTCCATTTCCACCCCACATAGGAAGAATTGATGGTGATGAATACATGCAACAATTAATGAATGCATGAACGCTTTTTTTTCAGTCGGTTTTGTCATTGCAATGAAATTGTCCATTCCTTTATAATCGAATGATGACTGGTTGTGGCAAATATAACTTTCGGGGGAGACCTGAAAACAATTACTCAGAAGGGATCATGACCAATATATTTGTGTAATATAGTTGAGGGTGTATTCTGACTGGAATTTAAGAGCCTGTGGTCATTTTATATGTTCTTTGACAAAGGCAAAACACTTTGCCAAGTGCTTATTGCAGTGAGTAGTTTGCTGCCTGAAGAGCAAAGCACATCAATGCACTTCATATAGTTGTGCCACTTTAAGCATTACATCTGACATTACATTTTCTGGTTGAAGGTGATGGATGCATGTTTGCTTCGTGTGAGCGTTGAGTGTCATCTGAATACGAGTTGAGTGAATGTCACGGAAATGCCTCGGTCAGGTGTGAGTTGACTAGTAAAGACTGCCCTCTAGTGTTTCAAGAGTTTACATGTTCAAGATGGCCCACTAAATATCTACGTAGGTGTGTATGTTGAACTTTTTTCGCACCGTACGTAGCCAAAATGTTAAATAAGAAATTGCTTTTAAAACAAATTATGCATTGCCTTTTTAAGATATCCATCGTATATCATCACTCCAGTGTACAGTAATCTACTGTTGCATATGACACAGGATCCTACAGGTAGGTGTGCTCCCTGTCGTGACGGGGGCTTTTCTCCGGGGCCTCCAGTGTTTCCCTCTACATTTAGAAAAATGCATTTAGAGTTTTTGGTTGCTCTACATTTCCACATGATAAGCTACTTCGTTGAGCTGTCATTTGTAGCCAGGTCACTTCTGAAAAAGAGCTACATAGCTCCGTGGGCCTTACCTGGTAAATAAAAGAGTTTTTAGTTTATAGTCAAGATACACATATCTAATTATTGTTGCTTGCTATAATGACCATTTTGGTCAGTTAAGCATAAAAATGTAATTGCCTGCAGTTTCTGTGAATGTAATTAAATGATGGGGATGACTTACGATTCATGCAAATGGCCAGTGAAATGTTAAATGTTGTTGCTGTGCCCTGTGTGTTTGTGCAGGGTATGAGGCAGAGAATGCGAGGCAGTATGAGTGCCATGAAGCTGAGAGCTCCTCAGATTGGAGGTTAGTTGAGAGACACGGATTGTTGCACTACCCATTGAGATTGGACTTTTTAACAGCAGCACATAATTGTCTTTAACATTCTTTGTACAACTTATGCAAAATGTAATGGACAGTACACTGCCCACGGTGCTCTTTAGTTTTCAGAATGTACAAAACCATCTGACCAATCACCAGCTGTCCCACGTTTTGTCTCGGGGTGGGTGGATGGGAGTTCTCATATATTGCAAAGGACGTTAACGTGCTCAAATATAATTTTAATATGAAACCATTTTTTAGTGACTTATTTTTCACAGTGTAAATGGCTTTTTCATCATAACACCCTCCAATCCCAGTCGTCAAAAGTGTTTCTCCACAATGGCAAGCATGGTATGTGCTCATCTCTATTCATGGCTTGGAGCCAGTGCCAGAAAATAACAAAATGCTATGTTTGGAGGGAGCCAGTCACTCCATGGGATACATTGTTGACTTACGACAACATTTTACTTATTTAATCAACCCAGGGGAATGATACGCTGGGACAAGCCCCCAAACAGCATAGAACTGCAACATTCGAATTGTGAGTTGTGAGCCATAGCACCACCTGGCAGGAGGTGTACCAATACAATAATGTACTGACCCCTTTTAATATAGGGTATAAATTAGCTTGAGCCAATTTTGCAGTAGGCTTAAAACAGTGTTGTTCCAAAGACTTACACGTGTGATTAGTGTGCATTCGTGATGGACTGGACTCATGAGAGTGTGCAATATGAAATCCTCAGACTTATTGTTGCTTTGCTAAGGGCAAAACTTTAGACGTCAACACATTCAGATTGTTCAGCGTCGTGCCAGAATAGGATGCTATGCAAGCCATGCCCAGGATTTTTAGCTTTAATAACGAGGGAGGAGCTCGTTCACCCTTATGCTCTTTAAATAGAATACTCACAGGGCCAACACATGCACCCGAATGCTAATCCATGCGTAAATGTTAAACTCAATTAAACATTAGCGCCATAGGAAGAATTGGCCGCTTCCTCACCTGCTGCTACGTTCATGTTTTCCCTTTTCTCCGATTGCATTACAGTGTCCTCTCTTGATACATTATATTACGGCCACTCAGCATACAATGTCAGCCTGTTTCATCTGGTAATCGCAGGACCAACCTGTAGCAAAATAAGCTCAGGTTTTCCACATTCAATGAGAGAAAATAGTTGATTGGTTGCCTAAGTGCCACATTCAAGGTAGATGTTAAACAATTTGTCTCTCAGGCAGTTGCAATTGTGTATTCAAATTTACGTATTCATTCATTTTCCCTAAGGAAGAAAATGTATTTTCAAAGTGTCTACATACTCAGTTGAGCAATGGGATGGTGAAATGAGCGAGTGCTGAAAATCTTGACATTCTATTGGCTGGCACTTATCTCTCTCGTAGACCACTGTTACATTTCCATCAAGTGATTTTTTTTTTTTACCGAGAGAAGATAGGCCGAGTCGAGATCTGGCTGGGATTGTAATTCACAACCTTGCACGTCAAGCGCTCTAACCTCAGTGCAATCCAGATTATGTAATTATACAATTTTTCCTGACGATAAAACATGCTCCGAGGTATTCTAGCATTTTTCTCAAGCGGTACATTCTACTCGGTCAGTCTCAACTGAGTGTTTCATGTGTTGTCTCGAGTAGGGGTTCACATCTGATCGCTCTATTGATCCAAATTGTATTGCGTTTATACGGTTGCTTACGGTGGAGGCCTGCCTGCCTAAAATGTGTCCACCGTGTGGCCTCAGGGAGCTTCGCAGTGTGGGGTGGCCTCTTCTCCACCATCGACTGTGGGCTGGTGAAGCTGCGAGGCAAGGAGGACCCGTGGAACTCAATCACCAGCGGAGCCCTGACGGGCGCCGTGCTCGCCTCCCGCAGTGAGTGCAGCAGCTGCTTTACCCGCGCCGCCCACAAAGATTGTGGCCTCAGTGTATCTGGCTAATTCACAGGGCGGTGCTGACCCGGTATAGTAAACTCTTTCTCTATATCCACGAGGGTTACGTCCTTGAGAACGCCCGCGAATGCAGAAACCTCATTGCAATGCGTGAAAATGGGGTTCTTCGTACGAGTAAACGTAGGGGGGAAATGGTAACACTTTTTTTTTTAAACTGTTTCTACAATAAATAAGTAATGAATTATAAAGAACAATGTGGGGTTTTTTCATTACCTTTGATCATCATTTGACGACGATGAAGGTGTTGGTGATGGTGAGAAATTTAGGAGGATGACTCCTCGGGAGTTGCAAATGTTTGATGACAATGCACAGTTATCATTTTAGCACTCTGGGGAGCGCTCACCGCAACGCTGTCCCTGATTGCATTAGCATTCTTTTGAATGGACCTCACAGTCGACTCGTTTATACAAAAATATATAAATTAGTCGGCTGTAAGTAGTACGTATAAAGTAAACATGCACAATAGCGAGTTCAGAGTGGGATTACTGCGGGACTTTAGGACTAAGCGGGCAGCCTAGGTGGAATGCCAAATCTTCACAAATTCAAATGTAACCACATTTTGCGCACACCTCCCCAGTATCGGTGGTCTGACACTACTCACGCTCGCGAATAACGGAGTCCGGTGGGTCGCGAAAAGGGAATTGGTATACATTTAGTAACTCGCGAATATGCAAAACCCGTGCGTCCAGGAGTCTCGCATTGAGAGGGTTTACTGTATATCCACTTTCTTAACAAAACCAGAATTATTTCCATGAAGACCAAATTTAAATATTATTTGGGTCTTTCGGTAAAGGCACGTAGATAGGTTCAAAGAAAATTACAAAAAACAAAAACCACGACGTTTCTATCGCAACACAAGCGGTTGTCTACGTGAATTAACCGAAAGACCCGAAGAATATGAATTCCCGTGGTCACGAAAGCTTTAAGTCAAGACCAAATTTAAGTTATTTGCAGATTTATTTTCTATTGAACGGGGACTGCCTGACATTTCCGCACAGCGTAGGGACGCAGTTAACAACAAGTCAACTTTGCTTTGCATGCTGTTCAGTTGTTGAGCTTTGGGAGTGCAATGTTTGATCATTTTTTTCTCATCAATATTCAGGGTTTCCTAAAAAAAGGCGTTAAATGCGGAACGTGGTTTATATGGTCACATTATTTCGAGAACAAATTCCAAATACATTCATTCTCACAAGTCACGTCAAGATGAGCTTGATTGGTTTAGGTGAGAAAACTGAGCGGCAGCTGTTTATCTCCCAGAGTTTGTGAGGGCCTTTTTGGGTGCCTTTAGATTATTGGAGGATTATCCCCCATTGATAATGCTATGAATACCCTGGGCTATATTGCACTATTTTGGATAACAATTACCTAATAAAGGACAGTGTCAATTAGCTGTTGACCTGCATATTTGGAGTACCAGAACCTAGACTACAACCCTTTCAGATACCACTAGCCTCTTGAAAAACCCACTAGGTGGCAGTGTAAGGTAAATGCATGCAAAACCATGACATTACATTTGGACTCCGCTGAATGCATCTACAGTCACTGTCACGCAACATTCGCTAACACCAAGCTTAACCCTATCCTTTGTAACACAGGCATTTGTGTAGAGTTCAAGTTTAGTGGGTCATCATGGTTTTACCAAATCACGATAACTTATTTATGCTAGATCCCCACAACTATTTCAGTTCATACGGTCAACACCTGGCCCCTGATAACCGACCAGCTGGCTTTAGCTCAAGGGGATGAACCTATCGGGGTTCACTAACTTGACCCCACCCTCCACCCAATCTTGCAAATGCACTTATCTATCAAATCTTGTTCTTCTCATTTACATCGACAGTGCATTCCTTGCCTTGGTTTATTCCAAACTACTTCCTCTTTCATGCCATGAAATTCCTAGTATCCTATGCCATACTCAAAGGCCAAGCATTCTTTTTTCTCAATACCCTGTTAAACTTCAGAAAGAGAGGCAAAATGCTTCTCGTCCAGTGTTGATAGGGCAGAGCAACTTTGCCGACCTTGTATGAGAATTGTGTACAGGATTGTCTTGTAAATACACAAATTTGGTCATAGTTGTGCATGGTTTGTCCTTTGGTGCACTTACACAGTTTTTTTTTATTCAAACTCCATTGTAAGTATATGACCTGAAACTGAAAATACACATTCCCACCTTCATCATGGGACCTCCTTCGCCAGTACCAAAATATGAGAATAGGTTTTTTTTTGTTGCCAGAAAAAAGGGGGGAAACCCCATTCTCACATTCCCACCTTGTTGTATGACTTGTGTTCAGGTGGCCCGGTCGCCATGGTGGGCTCAGCGGTGATGGGAGGCGTCCTCCTTGCCCTCATAGAAGGCGTTGGCATTATGCTCACCCGCTACACAGCACAACAGTACCAAAACGGTGAGCGCTCTTTATTACTACCACCTGCAGAGAATGCATTTGCGTGCATAGAATTAGTGGTGGCACTTCAGTTAGTATATTTTCCCAGCAGAGAGAGTGCATGGCTTTCTCGTAATGGTCTATATGGAATATAATGTGGATTTACATGTAAGGAGCTTTAAAATAATAAAACGTCTTCATGATACTGTTCCAAATGTTTGAAATAATATAAATAATTAATGGATCACGCTTGTTGACAATCCACGTCATATTCTTGGTTCTTTCGGTAAAGTCACGTAGAAGGGAAACAATAAAATAATAAAAATATAAAACAATAAAATTCTCACGACGTTTCGACTGCAACACAAGCAATCATAATCAGGTGTGAAAACCACAGCAAGAAAATTTTTGCTGTGGTAAAGTCTACGTGACTTTACGGAAAGAACCAAAAATATGAATCCCTATCAGTCACGAAAGCTTTAAATCAAAATTTTAATCCACATATTAATAAATATAAGAAGTGGCCAGATGTCACAAAGATCGAATACTAATGAAGGTGTCTTGCATGCCCAGACAGAGATCCTGCCTTCAAGCTAAATGAGCTTGGCAACTATAAAACAGGAAATCGTACGTGGCGTACATTTGATGGCTTTAGTCTGATGACCTCGCTAGTGTTTATACTTTTAACTATTTTAAAATAATCGATACTTGTCAACAATTTAGTGAAGCCCAGCTTTGAAAACTGAAGGGTGTCAGTTGATGGTCTGTGACATACATTCCCAAGTATTCATCAAAGTAACGTGGCTCAACTTTTTCACAGAGAGGAAAATATCAGCACATTTTCCAAAAACATTCGTAAGATCTGGGGATTTAGTTTTAAGTTTTACGATAATTAAAACGATACAAGGTCAAATTCATATAAAAAAAACTATTTACAAACACAAATCAGGTTTTATAAACTCAGATATAGGCTCTAATGCAGTGGTTCTTAACCTGGGGTGCACGCACCTCCTGGGGGATGTGAGACATGCCAGATTTTTTTAGAAGGTAAATAATCAAAACACAAATTAAGTTTGGGCACGTAAGTACAACTAATCTGTTTCATCAAACCTATGTATGTCTTAACATTATAAATGTTTTAACGATTGAGAAGCAAAGGTGTGCAGGGCTGCAGTAAGGCTTAAAAATTACTGCTCTAATGTGGCATGGCCTACCTGCTGGGCAAGCACACTCAGACTGCAAAACTCCTGCGGATACTGATGCCAACATATGTGTGCTAGTCAGGTTCTTTGAGCGGTAATTCTGTTGCAGTGGAATGTGTAACAACAAGTATACTTTTCCAATGTTACAGGGCCTCCCCAGTTTGTAGATGACCCTTCACAGCTGCCATCAAAAGGAAGCTCAGAGCAAGATCTGGGACGCTACGGGCAATACCAGTGAAAGCACCATAGTCGCAGTCAAGAGACCTCCTGGAATTCGGTGTTCAAGTAAAAATATCACAAACATTACCGTTGATGTTTTACATTAATTTAAATGCTGTGTCTATGTTAAAAAAACGTTTGTTATGTTGCAAACTGTAACTTCCTCAATGATTCAGGTTTATTCATAGTTTCACAAGATTATTTTCCATCACTGGCTCAGGTCAATTCGTGAAGACGAGCAGCTCATTGTTCACTTGAATAGTGTGCAGTGGTCACCGTGAATGTTATTTTATAACGAATTTGATTAATGGTCTGGTCACATGAGCTGCAAGAGAGAGGGTGCTGCCCTCTCCGCATCACACACAAACTACTGAGTTGCAGTGTCATCCAGCGGTGGGACAGTCTTGTACTCTCTGGCATGTGACATCACATTATAACAAAATTGTTCAATATTTCAAAAAATGTTAGTGTTGGACAATATTTTTCCAATATTTGTTTCATTCAAATGTTACACTTTTTAGATTTCACCCCTTTCAGTATGTGGTATAGAGCAATTGTCACTGTTACATTACACAAAGTCGAACTTGATTTTCCGACCAGCCAATACACAAGAACACCTGTACGTGATCACATTGCATTCAACATTTCCCCAAAAAGACATTAAGACCAAACCATTCGTGATATAGCGATCAGGAATTTCTGAGAAAATAGAAAAGGTAAATGTGATGTTATTGTCATGATGCTCAAGACATGTTCATGGCTTATGGGATAAAGGAATGAGGGAAATTGTTGGTCTTAGAAACATACCAACATAGTAAATTGCCTGCGATATTTGTGCTTGATCACCAGAAAAGAACAATCGTCACCAGAGTTCCTACTAGTCAAAACCCAACTTGTCATTGCTGTTATTGTGTTGTGTGAAGAGTTTTCGAGTAGCCACACAATAGAGCAATAACCGTGCTGTTAGCTACGTACGGTGAGAAAGAAGTTTAACATAAACTGCAATGGGATTTAAAAAAAAAACTTAGAGAGAGATTGTAATCCTTTGAACACATTAATAGTTTTAAAACATTAAACATTGCTTCTGTTTGATTTCTAGACTGAGTTTCCACTTTTTATAAGCTAAATCAGATTGAGTTTGAGCCTGTATTTGCAACTAAGTTGCTAACTCGTGATTAATTGTGATCATATGAGACTCCTTTTAAGAAATTACCACTTGCTTTTATTTGAATTAGTGATGTACCGAATAGCACATGTTACTATTCAGCCAAATATCAGATGGCAAGTTATGTATGTGGCCTAATTGAAATCTATTTTTGTTGAACTGGTATCTCACTGTTTCATTGTCTCACTGCCTGTCTCTACTTTGTGTGTCTCACTTCCTGTCTCAATCTTCCTCGAATTGTCCCTTTCTCTGTCTCCATCTCCATCTTTGTCCCTTTTTGTGTCTCAGATTCCCTCTATTGCTTTGTCTATCCCTCTGTCTCCACGTCTTTATATCCGTCTCTGTCTCCGTTGCAGTTTCCCTATATCCTTCTGTCGCTATGCCTCTGCCGTTTTCTCACCGTCTCAATCCGTTTTATTTATCTCGACTTAATGGTAGGGATCATTGTTCTCCCAACTCCTGTTCCCCATGCTAACCTCCTCCCGTCGTTCTACCCCCACCAAAACCCTTGGTGTTTATCGATAGCCCAAAGTCCAAAAATAAGGCTTTTCATATGTTTACTGAAAACTGAAGTATTCGGCCAAAGTTAAAAGAGATGCAAATATTCAGGACACCCGTACTTTTAAAAATAAGCTACTTTCAGTGGACTGTTTTCTGATATATTCTCCCATTATCTAGTTTTATGGCCATGTGTTCGTTGTCTGCACTTGCCCTGGTCACTTTTGTTGCAGGGAAATAGGCCTCCGGATAATGTTTTTAGAATCCGAATTCTACAGATTTGCTCTTGTATATGTAACATGTCATCTCATCTGTAGTATCCATGTATTAATATTGTAAAAAAAATCCTTTTTGTATTAAAGGAAATACGATTCAAAAGCCAATATTGGTATTTAACACGAATTATACAAATGGCGAGCGTTTTGTTTCGTGTTCCGACATTGACAATGATTTGTGTGCATATCAGAATTGTGTATAACTCAGTGTATATAATGCAAACGTTGAGTATTTTGCTGCTGTGTGGACTCTTGTCACGGTGCTGCAACACTTGCAAGCGAGTGGTTAACTCACGAATGGTGCGTTACCGCATTAGAAGTACCGGTACAATGTGCTGTGTTTAAGCAGCCTAAATGCACATTTATCTTGAAAAGCTGTTAAGAAATATACAGAGGTTTCCCCCCCCCACCCATGTAATATATGTTGAATAAAATATTTAAATTACACCTTATTTGTTATGTTTATTTAATATGCGGTCATTGTCTTGTTATATTTCACCCATTACGCCCCAATTGTGCTATCAGAATCACGGAACAAATCCTTGAGAAAGCAGCGCAGTTGCCACATTTTCTAGCAACCTGTAATTGACATGCTTGTCTTGAGCATCGTCACAACCTCTAGACTGCTGTTAAGTTTCACAAACAGGTTAACGTGTCACTTCGTTATTTACCTTCTGAGCTACGTGTTTGTGTTAAAACACACGTGTAGTGAGCGACTTTCGACACATCTAGTAGAAGGCTTCTTATTCTTCAGAGCACACAGCGCGATACACTTCGTAACGCGGCTACACCGAGACTGTCCAAACACGCAGCCCATCTCCGTCATGCGCTACGCTGGCTGGTTGACGAGCATAGCGGCAGTGACGGAGCTGGTTTTGCAGGAGAACAGCCACGTGGTCGAGGATGAAGAGATGACAGTACCAGGACCCTCAGACCCCACACAGCCCTGAAGCTCTGGTTTGGTGCTCCTTATATCTGCCTGGCGTGGCCAAGCTCCACCTCTGGCCACGCCCCCTTTATAGAACCTTCGGGATGGTTCCCGGAGCTTCTCGACTGACTCCGCCCTTGACCTTTACCCCAGATACGCCCCTTCATAATAAGGCATTATGTAATGCAGCTATAACTGTAATTACCCTTACAGGCCGGCAGGTGTCACCCTGTCATTACACGTGTAAAGGCAAATCGGCCCAACCATTTAATATGAAAATACCTCGGATCAAACTTGATACAAATACTTGTACTTTTAATTTTGCTGTTTTCAAAATTCACATCCAATCATCTCTCGGAATGTAATGATTCGTCCATTAAAACGAGTCATGCTTATGGTACTTGCTGTCGAACTTATAGAGGTGACTTCAATTCCTGTTATTTGAGAACTACTTTGTGGGAAATCAAGTGGTTGTGACAAATTAACAAAAACTGAAAATATTCTTGGTTCTTTCGATAAAGTCACGTAGAAAGGAAATAATACAATAATAAAAATAAAACAATATAATAAAATTTTCACGACGTTTCGGCCACAACGCAAGCAGCCGTCCTCAGGTGAAGAAACAGAGCTGTCGGAAAGACAGCGTCTTAATGAACACTGCTAAGCTTGGCAGCGTATTCTAAGCTGGGTGGGAGGAGGAGAGAGCCTGGACAAGAGTTTACATTTTGATTTAAAGCTTTCGCGACTGCAGGGATTCATATTCTCGGTTCTTTCGGTAAAGTCACGTAGAAGGGAAACAGCAAAAATTTAAAAATTTTCTTGCTGTGGTTTTTTACACCTGATGATGATTGCTTGTGTTGCAGTCGAAATGTCGTGAGAATTTTATTGTTTTATATTTTTATAATTTTATTGTTTCCCTTCTACGTGACTTTACCGAACGAACCGAGGATATAAAGGAGTTTACGTATCAACAGCGGTGGCCCTGGTTGTGATGGTAGAGTGTGGGTAATAAAATGGAAAACATTTTGTTGTTGCATCTTGAAAGAGATCCGTGTTAATAACGCTGTATCACAGCCAGTAGGCTTCTCTGACGTGGCTCGAACCTCCCGATTAACACGCTTGGCTACGTAAGGTGCGAAAGAAGTTCAACATACACAGAGAAGAGCCCAATGGGATGCTGTTCACTCCCAGACGTGTTATCCCAGGGCAAACTCAAATCACAACTTCCACACTTTTCAACTGTCAGTTTAAATATTGAATCGTGACACTAGTGACCTAGACGTACCACAGTAGATACAGAACCTCCTACTAAGAGGAATCTAGAAGGTGATTCACATAATATGCACACCACACAAACTATGGTACAGGTAGCAGCAGTCTCAGCTGTTCATATTCCTATTAATGGGGCCCTGGTAATCTCCTCTCCCCTTGTCACTTGATTCTAGTGAGCAATGTGACCTGAGATTCTGCCGAATAATTCTCCTTGGGATCTACCCAGGGTGCTCGATACAAATTAATTAATCACCATTCTTACCTTCTAGCTTTGAGCTCCATTGTTCAACTAACCCTTTAAACTCCCTCTATCTGACAGTCATTAGGACCTTACAGCTTAGATGATGACGAAAACCTGTATCGGTATAAAGCCACGGTGTGCTCTGCAATTGTCAAGACATTTCTGTTGTCGTGGATTGTGGGTAATACATGATTAATAGAATAAAATAACTGTACAGTTCATGTAACAGGCCTGACTGTGCTGGTTAGACTAAGAATTTAAAAACCTGCCCAGAGTTCACCTTGCTTAACAGATGCTTCTGCAAAACATTGTTTCACGAAACCCACATACATTAACCCAATTCTACAGTACGAGTAAATTAGCTCAATTTTTTGAGTATTTGGCTGCTATAAATTTCCCCGTAATAAGCCACTTCGTTGTCCTATCATTTTTGGTCAGATCGCTTCTGAAAAAAGAGCCATTTTGCTCAGTGGGCCTGACCTGGTAAAAAAAAATATTATTTTTAATTAAAAAAAAATCATTGCTTATTTATTTTATGATGTGCCAAAAATTAATTCGTCAAACACTCAAAGAAAATTGACTTGGGTGTTCCTGCGTTAACTTGAATTGCAAAACAATATAATGAGCATATAATGGGGGAGCTTGCATAGATGAGAGGCGTAATGGCATCTGATGTTTAATGCAAAACAATTACAAAGGTCATTGGAGAGGGGAAGTACCCGAAATACAACGCTCGATGTCTGATTTCACTGTTTATGGATGTGAGAGAAGAGTTATTGGTATCCAAGGCCGCCACACATTGTTTGAGGGCAAGGTGTGGATGCTGTGGTTATTGCGCTGCGCCGTGAACCTGATGATCTCCTTTGGATTCCCAGCCACTGGCTTCTACCCCACCCACAAATTATTCAGTTTCATTTATTAGGTATAGCCCTGTGAGCCATGCGGCCCTTGACTCGGGTGCAACCGCAACAAACGAAAACATGAACAAGGAACATCTGGTGTATCGGCTTAGGTGAACACACAAGTGTTGCTGATGTTTCACATTGATCCGTGCCCCAGCAGATTGCCGAGGCTTTTTTGCTGCTGCGGAACACACGTCAAACTAAGACGGGTCACTGCATCGCGTGGCACTTTCAGATGCGCTTCTGTGGCCGTCTGGAACGCTCTTCCGCCCCACATTAGGAATCCACTGGGAACTATGCACTTGTCATTCTAGATTGAAATTCCATTTCTTGAGAACTGCTTATTTTGTGTGTAGTTCTCCTTTCCCGCACCTCCGATTAGCACGGTTGGCTACGTACGGTGCGAAAGAAGTTTGACATACATAGGCGTGGTTCCTTTAAAAAGTTGGAGGTATGTTTTGTAACTCCTTAGGATATGAGAAGTAGTAATGACGTTTGTGATAGCCACGTTTCATAGGTGGTATGCCTCGTTCTTAACAGTCCGCATGGTGTATCGTGCAGTCTTCAAATAATATTCCCTCTATGGGAACTTTTTTGCTTGTATCAAAATGATGAAAAGTACAATAATAGGCTTTACCCTTTATGGCAATCAAACAGGTGTTACGATGTTCAACACCAAATAGACACCGTTTTGAAAGACACCAAGTCTGCATTAACTGTGCGTACTTGTGGCAAAACATGCAAACATAATATTTACTCTAACTCTCTGGCTTCTACCTCTCTGGCCTCTCTATTATTTGCATTGTTTGATATTAAGAAGGGGCCATTGCCCCAAAACGTCACCTATTATCTATGATATGTCCTTTGAAGGCCACAGTGTTATTGACGAATGCGTTGAGTTTTCAGAAAGATTGATATCCCTCCCCCTTTGACCCGCCACTGGGGACTTCTGTGTCCCGACAATATATAGGGCAGTGTTTACTCACCGAACTGCACTGACAGGTCATCAATGGTGTATCCAAAACAAAAAAAACGATTTGCATATAGTGTACACATCCTCGCTCGAACTTGACAGTGATTGTCACGTATTTTTTTGTATATCAGATACTGGAATGCTCTGCGACCTCAGTGTACGACTCTTTAGATTTGAGTGAGAATGTTCTATCTTGATCTACCTCCGGTGTTTGATGAGGAAATGGAGATCACATCATAACTTTATTTTAACCTTGGGGGGATTACCACGTTTCATTTCTAGGAGGTGACAGTGCACACGTTTGAACACGCTGGTATGCATTTCCTTTTATCAACATGCAAACGTTATTTGCATGTTTATATTGTTGAAAAAACGTATAACCATTGCCATTGTAACATACGTACATTGCCTGCCCTAAAAAGGGCCACTGTCCAAAACGTGGATCTACTTAAGCAATATTTTCTGTTTTGAGGCAATGCTGAAGATTCCGTTGTCTCTGTGCTTATACACAAGGGCTGTCCTTCCAATTTGTATTGTTACTCACGGATTACTGCTCTGTGTGTGATCCCTGTCTTGATGCCACCAATCCACTGTGGGGTGGTGGTTTCAGATTATCAGAACATTAATGTTTATTTATACTGGAGGAATCCGATGAGCTATAAAGCTGTTTTTCATAGACGTCCTGATGGGTTGGGTCAGAACGTTACAACAACAACAATATAATAACACGATAGGCGTGAAGAGTATAGGAAAGGTAAGCGAATCACTAAAACAAATATACAAATTAAACTAAACTATTTTACTTTATCAGGTAAAGCTCACTGAGCTGTGGTATGTTTACCCCGAGTGGGTACACGCGATGTCTGTCGGGGCTTCATCATAAAGTAAAAAAGAACAACTATGTTTTTTTTTATTTTACCAGGTCAGGCTCACTGAGTTTTATAACTTTTTTTCAGAAGCGATCTGGCTAAAATGATATCTCAACGAAGTTGCTTATCATGTTCAAATTTAAAGCAGTCAAATGATGTAAGTCATCTAAACGCATGCATATGAGATTGTTAATGTCATTCAAAGTTCCTAACCTGTGCTATGTTTATCCCTGGTGAGTACACGTGACATCTCCAAGGGCTTCGTGAGACGATTTGTGTGATGGGGGCGGTGGCCATACCACACGTTTTGTTTGCAGGCTATGCCGGGAAAGTCCCTGGTTTCACAAAAGGGTGGAGAGAGATATATTGCATATATGTTGTCTGCTTTTATATATTCTGTTACTTATATTCGCCAAAGTGATGTCAATTATTATGTTGCGCTATGTATTATACAATTTTGCGTTTGAATATGACCCATGTTCCTTGGAAACGGTCACGAAGCATTGGTTCAAGCAAGCCTGGCTAACCGATGAGAAGCCAGAATTTGCGTGTCATAATGGACCGATGCTGCTAAAATGATGCAATCTAAGAATGCTGTATGCTTGACGACGAAGTGTAAACTCATTTTTTTGTTTATTGTGAAGTGGACTTTGGTTCTCAGAGGAGTAGGTGGGAGACCTCTGAGCGAGCGGTAGGTTGCGACCAATGTCAGATGGAGCCACTCCATCACTCCCTGCGTGGGTAGTGACAGCGATGGAGCTGACGTAGCCGTGTACACGCGGACGGGGGCTGACACTGCCCGATTGAAAAAAAAACCAATGACAATGTTTCTGGTTGGTCACTGGTTTCCACGCCATACGAGTATTAGCATGACCTAGCCTGTGTATCCATGCATAGCAGTGCCTAAGAACAGTGACACATTGAAGCAAACCTCTCAAATCGTGACCATTGAATGGGGAAACAGGGTGATCGGCTGCGCTGAGCAGATCTGAATTAAAACAAATCATTTCGAGCCCTTTGTCAATCCACTGCTGAGTGAGGCCCTCCGCGCCGCCACGCCGACAATGAGAGAATAAAGTCAGGGCAGACAGGTAAGTGGGCACAGTGTGGCACTACGCCGCGTTGTTTGAGTCGTGCTGGATACAGAGTGCTCCTGTAAATGTCAAGTGCAAGTGTAAAAAAGAAACATATATGGGTTTGAGTAAGGAATTGCACTTGACAAGCTTTTTTTACAATATATATGTAACTTTGGTACGTCTTTATTTTTACTTACACGTCTTCATTGTGTTACATTTGAATATGTACTGATCACAGAATCGTATAAACACACTGAACATTACAGATATAACGTACACAACGCGTAACTTTGCGTGCAATTTTACCTCGGCTTAATAGTTATAATAGTAATGTTTGTGTGCAATTAATTATCTCAGCTTAACCTCATATTGTTTTAGAAACTCAACATTTCTGTGAATAACCCTACCTTTAAATAAATAAATATGACGTTTTGGGCAATAGCCCTTTTTCATAGCACATTATTTATGTAATTTATATACTTCTAGTGCTTATGAAGAAGGGCTATTACCAACTACACCTATTACATATATTATTTTCTTTAAAGGCAGGGTTATTTAAAATAATAGTAGTGTACACAACTGCCAACACATCTTCACAAAATAATGTTTATACTTATTTGGTTCTTTCGGTAAAGTCACGTAGAATGAGAATAAAATAATAAATTGATAAAATAAAATAACACAATAATATTATCACGACGTTTCGGCCATAACACAAGCGGCCTTCATCAGGTGAAGGGACGAGACTGTCTGGTAGGACAGCGCTGGAGTGAAAGAGCCACGTTCAGATCACGGCCTTTAAGCTGTGTGAGAAGAACAAAGCGCCCTCAACTTTAGCACCACGGATAGCTACGGGCCCCGTTCAGACGGACGAGTTCGTCCATGGTCAGAGCAGAGGAGGGGGAGAGAGACAGCTTAGAGTCGCGGCATCTCTTCAGAAAGGTGAGAGACTCGATTAGTTGAGCCTTCTTATCCCGAAGTCTGTTGAATTATCTTAAGGATGTGTGGAATCCCTCCCCGTAGAGGCGGTTAAATTTCGATTTAAAGCTTTCGTGACTGCAATGATTCATCTTCTTTGGTTCTTTCGGTAAAGTCACGTAGAATGAGAATGAAATAATAAATTGATAAAATAAAATAACACAATAATATTCTCACGACGTTTCGGCCACAACACAAGCGGCCTTCATCAGGTGAAGGGACGAGACTGTCTGGTAGGACAGCGCTGGAGTGAAAGAGCCACGTTCAGATCACGGCCTTTAAGCTGTGTGAGAGGAACAAAGCGCCCTCAACTTTAGCACCACGGATAGCTACGGGCCCTGTTCAGACGGACGAGTTCGTCCATGGTCGGAGCAGAGGAGGGGGAGAGAGACAGCTTAGAGTCGCGGCATCTCTTCAGAAAGGTGAGAGACTCGATTAGTTGAGCCTTCTTATCCCGAAGTCTGTTGAATGATCTTAAGGATGTGTGGAATCCCTCCCCGTAGAGGCGGTTAAATTTCGATTTAAAGCTTTCGTGACTGCAATGATTCATCTTCTTTGGTTCTTTCGGTAAAGTCACGTAGAATGAGAATAAAATAATAAATTGATAAAATAAAATAACACAATAATATTCTCACGACGTTTCGGCCACAACACAAGCGGCCTTCATCAGGTGAAGGGACGAGACTGTCTGGTAGGACAGCGCTGGAGTGAAAGAGCCACGTTCAGATCACGGCCTTTAAGCTGTGTGAGAGGAACAAAGCGCCCTCAACTTTAGCACCACGGATAGCTACGGGCCCTGTTCAGACGGACGAGTTCGTCCATGGTCGGAGCAGAGGAGGGGGAGAGAGACAGCTTAGAGTCGCGGCATCTCTTCAGAAAGGTGAGAGACTCGATTAGTTGAGCCTTCTTATCCCGAAGTCTGTTGAATGATCTTAAGGATGTGTGGAATCCCTCCCCGTAGAGGCGGTTAAATTTCGATTTAAAGCTTTCGTGACTGCAATGATTCATCTTCTTTGGTTCTTTCGGTAAAGTCACGTAGAATGAGAATAAAATAATAAATTGATAAAATAAAATAACACAATAATATTCTCACGACGTTTCGGCCACAACACAAGCGGCCTTCATCAGGTGAAGGGACGAGACTGTCTGTTAGGACAGCGCTGGAGTGAAAGAGCCACGTTCAGATCACGGCCTTTAAGCTGTGTGAGAGGAACAAAGCGCCCTCAACTTTAGCACCACGGATAGCTACGGGCCCCGTTCAGACGGACGAGTTCGTCCATGGTCGGAGCAGAGGAGGGGGAGAGAGACAGCTTAGAGTCACGGCATCTCTTCAGAAAGGTGATGAAGGCCGCTTGTGTTGTGGCCGAAACGTCGTGAGAATATTATTGTGTTATTTTATTTTATCAATTTATTATTTTATTCTCATTCTACGTGACTTTACCGAAAGAACCAAAGAAGATGCATCATTGCAGTCACGAAAGCTTTAAATCGAAATTTAACCGCCTCTACGGGGAGGGATTCCACACATCCTTAAGATCATTCAACAGACTTCGGGATAAGAAGGCTCAACTAATCGAGTCTCTCACCTTTCTGAAGAGATGCCGCGCCTCTAAGCTGTCTCTCTCCCCCTCCTCTGCTCCGACCATGGACGAACTCGTCCGTCTGAACGGGGCCCGTAGCTATCCGTGGTGCTAAAGTTGAGGGCGCTTTGTTCCTCTCACACAGCTTAAAGGCTGTGATCTGAACGTGGCTCTTTCACTCCAACGCTGTCCTACCAGACAGTCTCGTCCCTTCACCTGATGAAGGCCGCTTGTGTTGTGGCCGAAACGTCGTGAGAATATTATTGTGTTATTTTATTTTATCAATTTATTATTTTATTCTCATTCTACGTGACTTTACCGAAAGAACCAAAGAAGATGAATCATTGCAGTCACGAAAGCTTTAAATCGAAATGTTTATACTGTTTATGTGTGTGTGTGTATATGTGAAGCCGACTGAGGTTAATGGTTATTTGTATAGCTACTCCGAATGTGCTTACTAACACATAGGCACTTGTCGTTGACGTCACGTTTCGTTGCACGCGAGCATAGAAATGAATAACTCTAAGCCTAAAAATGTTTGATGCAATACCTAACATTGTTGACATTGTACGGGGTTACAGTTACAACTGCCAGTTCAGGTGGCATTTGTAAAATATCTCCTGAAGGAAGTGCTGTGTTAATCTCTCTGTTATGTTATATATTTTAATAAAATTGTGTTAAATAATGTTTCACCTTAAACAAGTGCATGTAATTATTTATGTAAACACAATGGAACTTCCTCTGAGTGCTATCAAGCATTAACTGCTCCGATTAATTTTATACTGTAATCATTGTTATCTCAACAATAGATGAAGGTGTATTTGGGGGCTCAGACCCGAAACGCAAAATAGCAGTTATGAGATTGTTCTCGGGAACTATATTCGTTCCAAATGTAATATTTATTGAAAGCTCTTCTAGGAGTCGAAGTTGACTTCACCCCTTCCTGAATTTGAGTGCACAAATGGCCGCCATTTTGTTTCAAGATGGTTGGCATCTGCCAAAATATTCTCATTAGACTGACAAAAGTGTTCTATTTAATAATAAAAAATAGAATTAAGGTCGCCACAGTGCTGAAAGACAGATAGGCAGATGGGAATTGTGATTCCATTACTTTTATACATTTTAATGAAAAGGCTAATATTGTATGTATGTGTCTGTTTGATTTTTGACGCATCTACAGCTATTTCAATAATCCACTTGCTGGATAAGAGCATACCCCACGTCTTCCGTGTTATTTGACCATACTTCACCACGCTGATCAATCCGGGTCAGCGACACAGAGAGGTATATTACAGCAAAGGATGTTTCTGACCTGCACTCTACTGCCCACGACACAACCTATAATCAGATGATTATTCAGCTTGTTGTAGCATGGTTGGAGCTCATCTCCCTCAATCATCAGACTTTTAGTTTAAATCCCTGTTGTGAATAGACTCAGCCAATCATCCCTATGGGGTTGAAAACGTCGGTTATATGCTGTAGACATTCACAAATTTGTTCAACATTATTGAAGTGCCCTCTTCATAGGAATATGGAATTTTAAATACCGATTCAGGTCTAGTAACAGCATACCTGTCAACCCATACGGTTTATCCGTATTTTTGTGCAGGGAAATTTAGTTTTCAGGTCCATACGGCGTACAGCCATTTCAATACGGGCAGAAAAGATCGTACCGCTAAATAAAAAAAATCGTGGGACAGCTTTTTTTTTTACTCTGGAGAGTAGCAATCCCCGTAGCAGCCGACAAATTTGATCCAGAATGAAGAGGCTCTTGGTACAGATCATGCACACAAGCTACATTTCCACGTCCGGTTTCCCAAACACAAGCCACACCACAGCACAGCGACATCGGCAGCGTTACATTCTGGGGCGAAGAAGGCGACATTCGCGACGCCGACAGGCAGACATTTGAAAGAGTGGGAGAGCCCGACCTATGCTCAAGGGCAGTACGCAGGATGGGTGCGGACGTTTGTTTGTGTTTCTCCCTTGTGATGGGATTTTGTAGGATGGACGTTGAGATTTCTAAGGGCACGGGGTGACCAATAAGGTCTGCATAAGTCTGTAATAAGGTACGCACTGACAAGGGGTTGACAGGTATGTAACAGGGGTGTGTAGCAGCCCTTGGTTTGAACAAATAAGCTGAATATTATTTATCAAAATGTATTATATACATAAATCAATGTGTTCCGAGGCATCACACATTCACTGTTACACAATACAATACTGGCCAAGAAAATTTATCTTACGATGTCCTGTCGATGATGGATTTTCCGAAAATGTTATAATAATAAATAAAACTCAAGAGGAAATGCCACTTGAGTGAATACGTCGTGTTGTGCTGATTGTCATGGCGTGATTGGCAGGTGAACATCTCAACAATGTACACATGAAAACAGTGGTATGTCCAGGGGGAGGGGGAAATCCCCCTCTGCACCCCCCCCCTGCCCACCACAACTTTAGAGACCCCAAACGTTTTAGAGCCGCCTCTGCATGGGACATTATTGGTATTTACTGTAGAAAATGTAATAAATGTTTATTATTTATGTAGTACCACATTTAACAAGCCTCAATTTTCTGGATCACCGCCCCACCCACCCACCTGTCTGGGAACTTTCTAGATCCACCTCCGCATGGGAAATCCAACAGAGCAACACTTCACAGCAGATATATGCTCAGAGTTCAGCATTGCCTTTGGATCGCGGAGACATTTGGAAACGCACGGTATAGTTACAGCGGAGGCCAACAAAGGTGCAAAACCCCGAGTGGTAACAGCAACTTGAAAAGGGAAGGAGAAACCCTACCACAAGTAGTTTTATGGTTTGACATTTTATTGATGAGTGGCAGAACACTCTAGTAAAACATCGGTTATACATTCCAATGCAGGTCCCTGCTAAAGAAACGCCTTGAGTGAGAGGAGACTGTCGTGGGTGAAATGAACGGAATTAATATTACGATCATTTAACTGTTGATAGCTTTCAAACTGTTGTACCCTGTTGATATTACAATACGCAAATATCATTTTTTCCCAGGTAACCAGATTAATTAAAACCAGCCCTGGTGTTCGTTGACGTTATGCTTATCATGAACCTGTGGTGCGATCTTTATCTTTTCAGAACATCTGAAGAAACATCATCCCCCTTATCTCCCCTACCCCCATAAAGAGTGGTTACCAAGGGGTCAGTGTTTCATCCTGGTCGCATTGTTGGACTCCGCAAGTTGCCATCCACTCACATAGAACATATTTGCCATCCGCAGATTTAAACCATCTTGAAATATATCCGGAACATATAAAAAACAGCGAAAATGCATGTAAATTGCATGTCAAATGGAGACATTTATATTACACCTGATGGCAAAAATTCTACTCAATTAGGAGGAATCCACTGCTCCACGAACCGTGATGAAAATATTTCAAGCGAGCTTCGTCTGCGCGAAAACGGTGGTGCGCGGGAAGAGAATGAAACCAAATTGACAAACATCTCACATTCTCAGCAAACAATCGAAAGAGCGGACGCACTTAACACGTGTTCGCCGGGGGAGCATAGTCAAAATAGATACGTCGCAATGGGTACGTCCCCGCCGCCTTTCGTTCAAAACCCTCCTCAGCCCACAGACGAAGAGTTGTCTGCCGCGTTTGTGTTCGAGAAACTTCCGCATCGCACGCCCTCCTCTCGTCCCGTCTGCCACTACACGGGGACTCACCTTGGCCCCCCGAGTCGGCACGGAACCTTCTAACGGATAAGCAAATGTTGTGAACGAAGAGTTACCACGCCTGAATATGACCCCTTGCATCCACGCAAAAAAAAACTGTGGGTGATCGTACATAATACGATTAATGTATTGTGCTGTACGCTAATGTCCCTGCTATTCTAAATAGCTGTGGATAACAATATGAATTTACTGCGATGTACACTGTAGTGTAGTGCAGCATTTTTGTTGCTGGATCCTTGACGTTTTCGAAACTTCGGCCTGTGCTCAGCAACTTTAAAAAAGACTAATTGGCCCAATGTTTGCTGTATTCTCGCTATAATATCGCCACCAATCCCGTGCTGATATTGTTTTACTCATTGGTGCACCAGTGGCCCAACAATGCCATTTTGCTCGATGCCAATCTCTGTGCCAATGCTTACGCGATATTCTGTAATGTTGTGGGGCACCATCACGCTATCCATTCATTTCAAATATGTACCTATTTTCCCGCATATAGCCCGCAAACGCATATAACCCGCAGACGCATATACCCCGCAAAAATAGCGTTTTGTGTAAAACAAATTTCAGATAGCCCGCACCTCCATATACCCCTCATGCATCCATATCTTTAACGTCGTTAACGGTTATTACACTTGGCTCGCAGTCCACAGGTCCGGCTCTCCCAGCTACCAGCCTGGCAGCTGAAACGATCGTTCATGTTTACAAAATGCTCTTTGCCTCTGTCCACCCAGCGGTTGGGTAGACAACAGTCAGTCGGTCAAAAGGTCACACGTGGTTGGGTAAAGTGTGGGTACTCACCCCTCTTCCGAGATGTCTGGCGAGCGTGGAAAAGTCGACCAAACTACTGCTAGAGGAGGCCCTTCCTCCTGCATTGGCACGAGCAAAACCTTTACCGTTTATAGTTTCACACATATATAAGCTGATCTGTAATAAGCATTTTAGATTTCGTATGATCTTCTTTTGACACTCAAATTACACATCACTTATTTACTCTGCGTTGCGCGCTTTCAGATGCGCATCTGCGGCCGTCTGGAACGCTCTTCCGTTCGATGTTAGGAAACCACTGGGAGCTATGCAGTTTAAAATCATCTCGATTGAAAACGAATTCCTTGAGAACTACTTGTTTTGTGTTTAGTTTTTGTCCTTAGCACGGTTGTCTACGTATGGAAGAAGTTCAACATACATCGGAATATTTGAAATAGTTTGAAACAACCAATGTACAGTGAGGGAAAAAAAGTATTTGATCCCCTGCTGATTTTGTACGTTTGCCCACTGACAAAGAAATGATCAGTCTATAATTTTAATGGCAGGTTTATTTGAACAGTGAGAGACAGAATAACAACAACAAAAATCCAGAAAAACGCATGTCAAAAATGTTATGAATTTATTTGCATTTTAATGAGGGAAATAAGTATTTGACCCCTTTATAAAACAAGACTTAGTACTTGGTGATAAAACCCTTGTTGGCAATCACAGAGGTCAGACGTTTCTTGTAGTTGGCCACCAGGTTTGCACACATCTCAGGAGGGATTTTGTCCCACTCCTCTTTGCAGATCTTCTCCAAGTCATTAAGGTTTCAAGGCTGACTTCAGCTCCCTCCACAGATTTTCTATGGGATTAAGGTCTGGAGACTGTCTAGGCCACTCCAGGACCTTAATGTCCTTCTTCTTGAGCCACTCCTTTGTTGCCTTGGCCGTGTGTTTTGGGTCATTGTCATGCTGGAATACCCATCCACGACCCATTTTCAATGCCCTGGCTGAGGGAAGGAGGTTCTCACCCAAGATTTAACGGTACATGGCCCCGTCCATCGTCGCTTTGATGCGGTGAAGTTGTCCTGTCTCCCTAGCAGAAAAAACACCCCCAAAGCATAACGTTTCCACCCCCATGTTTGACGGTGGGGATGGTGTTATTGGGGTCATAGGCAACATTCCTCCTCCTCCAAACACGGCGAGTTGAGTTGATGCCAAAGAGCTCCATTTTGGTCTCATCTGACCACAACACTTTCATCCAGTTGTCCTCTGAATCATTCAGATGTTCATTGGCAAACTTCAGACGGGCATGTAAATGTGCTTTCTTGAGCAGGGGGACCTTGCGGGCGCTGCAGGATTTAAGTCCTTCACGGCGTAGTGTGTTACTAATTGTTTTCTTGGTGACTATGGTCCCAGCTGCCTTGAGATCATTGACAAGATCCTCCCGTGTAGTTCTTGGCTGATTCCTCACCGTTCTCATGATCATTGCAACTCCACGAGGTGAGATCTTGCATGGAGCCCCAGGCCGATGGAGATTGACAGTTCTTTTGTGTTTCTTCCGTTTGCGAATAATCGCACCAACTGTTGTCACCTTCTCACCAAGCTGCTTGGGAATGGTCTTGTAGCCCATTCCAGCCTTGTGTAGGTTTACAATCTTGTTCCTGACATCCTTGGAGAGCTCTTTGGTCTTGGCCATGGTCGAGAGTTTGGAATCTGATTGATTGATTGCTTCTGTGGACAAGTGTCTTTTATACAGGTAACAAACTGAGATTAGTAGCACTCCCTTTAAGAGTGTGCTCCTAATCTCAGCTCGTTACCTGTATAAAAGACACCTGGGAGCCAGAAATCTTTCTGATTGAGAGGGAGTCAAATACTTATCTCCCTCATTAAAATGCAAATCAATTTATAACATTTTTGACATGCGTTTTTCTGGATTTTTTTGTTGTTATTCTGTCTCTCACTGTTCAAATAAACCTACCATTAAAATTATAGACTGATCATTTCTTTGTCAGTGGGCAAACGTACAAAATCAGCAGGTGATCAAATACTTGTTTCCCTCACTGTAAAAGTGATATTTCATGGGCGTTCTCCAAGTAATCTGCATAGCATGTGCTGTATATAAAAAAAAACATACACGTGGTGTAAAAAATAAACTTTGATTGCTTTATGAGTGATTAGGACATATAGTGTGCATACTTGACACGGTCAATGTGTGATTCATGTGTCCAAAATAAGTGTTTAGTTTTAAATAGCGGCGATTGCGTCCCAAGATCGAAGAGGGACCAGATTACCTGGGTGACAGCCAGAGGGTGAGTCGGCATCAACAATAAAAACCAAGCTCTATTGTCCTCTGTATATTAAGATGTTTTCGGTCAATTAATGAGTGCTATGCGTGTGAGAGGAAATCGGAGCATCTGGAGAATACTCCCGCGTGCGAGGAGGCAACGCTCTATCCTATACAGAAGGGATAAATAATGACTTAAAGCTTTCGTGACTGCAGGAATTCATATTATTGGGTCTTTCGGTAAAGTCCCGTCGATAGCTTCAAAGAAAATAACAAAAATAACTACGACGTTTCGATCGCTTGCGTTGCAAGGAGGTTGTTTTGTGTGTTGCCCGTGTGGTATTCACCTCGAGAAACCGGTTGGGCAGTTTTAAAAAAAAAAATTCAATTACAGCCTCCTCCTTTTTGGGGGGTCGCGACCAGCACGCAGGAACTCCTCGGCCTCAACAGATGCCCAGTGACTTCCATCGTGGACAACGCGCGCCTGTCAACTCTCCGCACGCCTAACGCAATAAGTCTCACCTGCGTTAAGGCGGCCCTGCGAGTGAACAATCTCTGTGCTGTTGACGGGCGGGGGGGGGGGGCGGACATCTCCTGCGAAGCTCCGACCAACAAAGACACGGAGACGCGGAGAGACGGAGACTCGCAAGGTACCGGCCGTGATAAGTGTTGCCACTCACGTAGCGCACAAAGACAAAGATCACCCCGTGTAGCCCTAACAGACTGTTGGGGGCAAGTGCTGTTAGCGAGTCGCACCTATGACGGCCGGGCGCGGCACACGAGGGGGTGGGTGGCCAGCACCACGCCCGGCCGCCTTTGTCTCCCCCAGTGGCGATGTTTACACACCGCATAATGTGCTCATTCGAGGCTGAGTCGATCTAGGGGAGGAGGCCCGTGACAGGTTCAGATAATCATCACTGGTGTTGGCCGTGAGCGGGAATGGAACCTGGGTCCGCAGCGCTGCGCACTAACCGCTATACCACACAGCGCGCACGCACGCACGGACAACATCGTTTGGCTGTCATACTACAGCTGCCATGTAACACATCAGTCGTGTGTGTCTGCAAGTACTTGTGTGTGTGTGTGTATATACAGCAATACCCCGATTTACATCTAACCCCTTTTGTGCCGTTTCGCAAAAAACGTCGCCACTTTATTATCAACACCGCCACCCAATGTGCGTCGTCTCGACCCCACACTCACGTCGCCGGCAGCGTCGTCCGTCCGTCCTTTCTCGCGATCTTCGTCTCTCAGCCTTCGGCTCCAGCACCTACCCCGTGTGCGTCGCTTTGATTGATTGACGTCGTTTCGATATTCAGGAACGCATCCCCCAAGTGAAATCGGGGCACTACGTTCAGAGTGTATTCGGCTACTTTTCGATGTAAAGCTTTCGTGACTGCAGGGATTCATATTCTTGGTTCTTTCGGTAAAGTCACCGCGTAGAAGGGAAATAATAATAATAAGATAATAATGAGAATTCCCACGACGTTTCGGCCACAACGCAAGCAGCCGTCCTCAGGTGAAGAACAGAACTGTCGTTAGGACGCTGTCTTTCTGACAGCGTCCGAATGAAAATGTGTAACCGGTCCTGGGCTTCCCCTAGGTCAACTCGGCCTCAAGTGAGTACCTCGTGCAGTGTACAAACAACAGCCCTGGGGAGACAAAGGCGGCCGGGCGTGGTGCTGACCACCCAACCCCTCGTGCGCTGTCCCGGCCTTCATAGGTGCTCGCTAACAACATTTGCCCCAACAGTCTGTAAAGGCTATAGGGAGGATCCTTGTCTGTTTTTTTTATCTTCGTGTATAAACTATACTACTGAATTGATATTCTTGGTTCTTTCGGTAAAGTCACGTAGAAGGGAAACAATAAAATAATAAAATTCTCACGACGTTTCGAATTTTATTGTTTTATATTTTTATTATTTTATTGTTTCCCTTCTACGTGACTTTACCAAAAGAACCAAGAATATGAATCCCTGAAGTCACGAAAGCTTTAAATCAAAATCTACTGAATTGAGTTATGGTCCAGTGTATAATAAGGACAGCAGAATATATGGGATGACCTAAGGTCAAGAGTTGGATGCGTCGTGTGTGTGTCTCCTGCACAGCAGCTTTTGGGATGTGGTGGAGGGCAGAGGGCCTTGACAAGGTGTGGATGATGGTGGTGGTGTCATCAATGGCTTGGGTCACGATGACATCTTGACAGCTGTACGGTACAAGTATTACAGTTCTGCACAACACGAAATACTCTCTGTGGTGTAACACTGTAATTCTATACTCTGGTTTCCTCCTCCGTCTCCTTTAAGAGACGACAAGGATGAATGCTCCATTGTAATTGCTCTTTGTATATACATCATGATTATACATCTTATATCTGGCTGGCTCTTGATCGGCAATGGGATTAAGGCTGCTAGGATCAAATCTTGCCCGGGGGTCGACTCGGCCTTTCATCTCTCTGGGAAGTCAGCAAGGACTTTCCCTATGGATAAAGTGCACCCCACAATGCGAATATGAAAAATATATATGACAAATCCATCTGGCTCAGGGTTTAACATTCATGTCTATGGATGGCAATAATAGGGCTTCCACCTTTACGGTACAATAAGACAGGATATTCATAATAAAGGTTTTTGGGTTAGATCGCGTTTATTTATAAATGTGTCGTAACCCTCCACCACCCGACACGGCCAATCAGCAAAAAAAGTGTCACGTTGACAAAAGACAAATAATTCACTACTTTAGCCCACCGGTGTGTTGAAGAGTGAATCCACATTTACAGTTTGAGTACGACGTTTCGCTGGTAAATACATCCAGCATCATCAAGCAATTCGCCAGAATGGTAAAGCCCTCGCTTGCTCCCGGTTTTATATAGAGCAGCAGGGTGACGTCATCACTTAACTCATATCAGGTGCAGTGATTAGAGGCGGAGGGGGGGTATTGTAATTATATAATTGATTAGTAATCAGTCATTGGTTATGATTAGTAATGAGTTGTAGATTAGTAATTCTTTAAATCAAAAGGTAATGTGTATTATTTAATAATACGCTTCCAGGCCGCACTAAGCCGGTAGCTGTCAGAGCGATTAAAGTTATTCTTGTTCCTCTCAATTTCAATGGATTCTCTAATTAGTCTTTGCCAGTAATAATTAGTTTTACACACCACTGCAACATTGTCAAAATCAATTGAGTGTCCTTGTTGACAAGCATGTTCTGCCACTGCTGACAGTTGTGTTTGAGATAATTTAATATTTCTCTGATGTTCTTTTAGTCTTACGCTGATGTTACGTCCCGTCTGCCCAATGTAGCAGCTGCCACATGAACAATTAATCCGATATACACCTTCTGTTGATATTTTAGGTAATGCGTCTTTAGTGCAAGATACTAGTTTTTGAATTTTGTGTACTGTACCAAATCTTACTGTAATGTTTTGCTTTTGCAAAACACGGGCTAATTTGTCGTGTGAAGAAGAATGCCTCACGATATGGGAAGAGGGGATAACTACATGTCTTGAGATGTGTACAGTCAGTCCTCGCTGAACGTGGTAGATACATTCTTGAAAAGTGCCGCGTTAAGCGAAAACAATTTCCCCACAAATAGTGGCACGAAAAGGTTTGGCGAGACACGATGTACACACACAGTGAGACGGCGGGACAAATAACTGAAAGTATGCCGCCGCGTTATAAATTAATTTCGCGTACTGAATTATACCGCTCAGCAGCGCAGTTCTAAAAAGTAGTTCGTCAGAAAACCGTTCAGAAATCGCGTTATAACGGCACATTCTGCATTACAATGGTACGCATTCCACTGTGGGTGCGATAAGTGGTCCCGAATGAAAGAACCGCATTAGAGCTGAAACGCGTTATGTTCATCTTCTTTGGTTCTTTCGGTAAAGTCACGTAGAATGAGAATAAAATAATAAATTGATAAAATAAAATAACACAATAATATTCTCACGACGTTTCGGCCACAACACAAGCGGCCTTCATCAGGTGAAGGGACGAGACTGTCTGGTAGGACAGCGCTGGAGTGAAAAAGCCACGCTCAGATCACGACCTTTAAGCTGTGTGAGAAGAAACAAAGCGCCTTGACAAAGGAATTAGCATATAAGTTAGCATTGAAATGGCTGAGTGATTAGCTTGTGACTGGTCACAGAAATAGCTATGTTAAAGTTAAAGCATACACATCCGCAGAGGCACCCCTTGACAAAGGAATTAGCATAGAATTTAGCATTGAAATAGCTAAGTTAAAGCATACACATCCGCAGAGGCACCCCTTGACAAAGGAATTAGCATAGAATTTAGCATTGAAATAGCTAAGTTAAAGCATACACATCCGCAGAGGCACCCCTTGACAAAGGAATTAGCATAGAATTTAGCATTGAAATAGCTGAGTGATTAGCTTGTAACTGGTCACAGAAATAGCTATGTTAAAGTCAGAGCATACACATTCACCGAGGCACCTAGTACAAATCAAACAGGAGAATTTAGCATTGAAATAACTAGGCGAATTTAGCATTGAAATAACTGAGTGATTAGCTAGTGACTGGTCACAGAAATGGCTATGTTGAAGTCAAGGCCTACACATCTGAGCTATTCACAGTAACTGGGTATACAATACAATATATAATGAATACTATATAGTGAACCAATAAAAAAACTAAAATATAAATTACCTCAATGTTATCAATAAACTCTATATATTCTCCAATCAGCTAAGCTACCAACAATAAGCCGTTATATATCACAATGCTATATGGCGAAAAAATGGGTGGATTCTTACCCTCAATTTTAGCAACACGGATAGCTACGGGCCCCGTTCAGACGGACGAGTTCATCCATGGTCGGAACAGAGGAGGGGGAGAGAGACAGCTGCGAGGCGCTATCATACTCCATGTTGTAAACCATACCATTAACCGTGGTGTGAGAGGTATTAAGAGTCAATGCTGGCGAAAGAGCTGCGGTCTGAAGGTCATCGTAAAATACAATTAATTAAGAACGGAAATGGTTTAAAACATATTTCCAATGGTTACTAAGCCAGAATCCATCTTCTCGGTTGAAATTGTCTCTGTGCTTGTATATGTGAATGGCCTCATGAACGAATTTCTCATGGTAGCCGGTTGGTTTGCAAAGAACCTCCGTCTTGGAGAAGTCAATGTCATGTGAGCCCACTGAATTATAACAGTGATCTGCCACGGCAGAGGAGTTCGTTCTACCGTGTTTCAAGTCTGCTTTATGTTCGCGGATGCGGTCCGAGATATGTCGTTTGGTTTCTCCAATGTAGCTACTACCACAGAGGCACTTTAGTTTGTAAACGCCCGGGTACTGTATGTCTGGAACAGCATCTTTTACAGATGGAACTAAATTACGGATTTTATGTACTGTGTTGAATCGGACCTGGATCTTGTGTTTATTCAGGATTTTGGAGATCTTTTTAGTAACCCCTGCAATGTAGGGTAAGGTGATGGTTTTGAGTGGCTCCACAAGAGGATCCTTCTTCATGACTGGAGTGATGGCTTTGCGGATTGTGTAGTCGGAGTAACCATTCAACATAGCCATTTCTGTGACCAGTCACTAGCTAATCACTCAGTTATTTCAATGCTAAATTCGCCTAGTTATTTCAATGCTAAATTCTCCTGTTTGATTTGTACTAGGTGCCTCGGTGAATGTGTATGCTCTGACTTTAACATAGCTATTTCTGTGACCAGTTACAAGCTAATCACTCAGCTATTTCAATGCTAAATTCTATGCTAATTCCTTTGTCAAGGGGTGCCTCTGCGGATGTGTATGCTTTAACTTAGCTATTTCAATGCTAAATTCTATGCTAATTCCTTTGTCAAGGGGTGCCTCTGCGGATGTGTATGCTTTAACTTTAACATAGCTATTTCTGTGACCAGTCACAAGCTAATCACTCAGCCATTTCAATGCTAACTTATATGCTAATTCCTTTGTCAAGGCGCTTTGTTTCTTCTCACACAGCTTAAAGGTCGTGATCTGAGCGTGGCTTTTTCACTCCAGCGCTGTCCTACCAGACAGTCTCGTCCCTTCACCTGATGAAGGCCGCTTGTGTTGTGGCCGAAACGTCGTGAGAATATTATTGTGTTATTTTATTTTATCAATTTATTATTTTATTCTCATTCTACGTGACTTTACCGAAAGAACCAAAGAAGATGAATCCTTGCAGTCACGAAAGCTTTAAATCGAAATTTACGCGTTATATTGTGAACACCACGTGTTAAGCGAGGACTTATCGTATAGTATCATTAGGCGACTGACAAAAAACTGGGACTATTAATGTCCCAGTAAGATGTACGGGTTTTCTGGGAGAACGAGAGAAGGTGGCAACCCACGATCTTGGCTGACAATTTCAAACCGGATGGTTTTTGTGTGCGGTTTCCGTTCACTACAAAACCTCTTGACCCGGTTATGCATTAGTTGGTTTAAAATGATGTTTGAAAGGGTTTGCTTCTGACATTTTTTTTACGATAGAAACGGAGTAGCGCAGCTAATTTCTCCCGTAATCTGCGGCACAGCGTTGTCGGCACAGTGTTTCTCACACTGCATTTTGGGACGAAGCTCCACGCTGGCATCACGGATTATAGGATTACAACTTGACGAAAGCATACCCATGACGCATTGATCGCGGAGGTTGTTAATAGCCATACCGCCTGACGAAGGGGGCCAAGACGATCTGTTGGCTGTGACAGGGAATACAACTCAAGCCTCTGGGTTCATGGCGCAGTGCACTAACCATTGCACCACTTCTTTGGTTCTTTCGGTAAAGTCACGTAGAATGAGAATAAAATAATTTAAAAAAACAATAAAATTCTCACGACGTTTTAGTTTATTATTTTATTCTCATTCTACGTGACTTTACCGAAAGAACCAAAGAAGATGAATCCTTGCAGTCACGAAAGCTTTAAATCATTGCACCAATGTTCCCCAAAAACTGTAGAGTGTAATATAATAGGATAACAAAAAGCCTAACATTGGCATGGAGCTCATCTTTAACCTGGCAACCTAAACTCAGAAGTGGAAATTCAACATTTCTATGATGGACTGTCTGCCCGGAGGACAACCACTGATTGCTTATCACCAAGGTGTTACAGTGTCCATGCCATGTTATCAACAAGCTGGTGTATGCACAGAGCTCGGCTGCTTGGATTTTGTCGCGATGTAAGAGATTTCTCAAGGCATTCGTGATCACTTCCATGATATTTACTCAAACAGCCTTGAATGAGACACTCCCAGCAGCATGCAATTGTTCAAATTCAGTGGCGTAGTAACGACATTACCAACTCAGGGGCTGCAGAAATCGGTCAGGTGGGTCCCCAATGTTTGATTCGTCTCACAAGGTCGCACATGGGCTATTATATATCGCCGTTTCCTCAACAACAACATAGAAACACACAATCACTTTGCGAAAGCCAAACGGTAGTGCTTTAATAAAAAAAAAACGTGAAACGTGAATGAAAGCATTTTTTTAAATAAAACAATTAATTTAAATCGCGTTTTAAATAAGTGCTGTTGTTCTTATACACTGTTGTTGAAAACAGATCTCACGGTGGTTGTCAGACAGACCCCAAATCACAGCTTTGGCCATCAGGTGGGGGCCAATGCACACCCTGCCACCATGCTATAGTCACGCTACTGTTCAAATTGTATTATTTACTTAATTCCCTGTCTTCCCCGAGTTCTTGTACCTATGATTTGCCTATTGTTATCTCATTACAAGAAATCTAAGGGGCCGTCCAAAAATGACGTCACGCGATTTTTGACGATTTTTGACCCCCCCTCTCGTCACACGGCGTCACAAAAAGTCAGACCCCCCCTCAAATATGACGTCACAAAGCTCTGCCCCCCCCAAAAAAAAACATGCTTCAAATCGCTTTAAACTATTGTCATTGCAGTGCGTATTTAATGTGGCGCTGCACTCTGATGTTGTAGGAGAAAATATTTATTTAAAAAAGTATATTTTATTAAGTAGAACGTGTTGTCTATATTTATTTAAAGTTGCGCATTTTGATGTGACGTCACATTTCTCAAACCCCCCCCTCGTCACACAATGTCTGACCCCCCCCCCCTCCCCCCTTAGGTGCGTGACGTTTTACTTTGTTTCATAAATTACAGTCATACTCCGATTTTACGTCTCCCCCTTTTACGTCATTTCGCAAATACGTCGTCACTTTATTATTAACACCGCTACCCGATTTGCGTCGTCTCAACCCCACACTCACGTCGCTGACAGCATCGTGCGTCCTCTCAGCCTTCGCTTCCACCGCCTTACCCTGTAAACCGCTTCGATTGACGTCGTTTCGATATTCGTCGTCGCACCTTACAGGAACGCATCTCCAACGTAAACCTGGGGTATTTTATGTTTTGTGTTGACTCAGGGCCTCATTGTTTGGGATGGAATCTAAACATCTGGCAACAGAAATATTTGCTTTAAAAATAATGCTGATGAACCTTAAAATGTTAAATCCAATCCAATTTTGCTTATTCAAAGATATACCTCTGAGCAGCACTGGGCTAGAAAACCCGTAAGCTGATGGACAATTCATGTATCTATGAGGCAAACGGAACATTTTTAACCATGCCCATTTATAAACCCATTTAAAAAAAAACTAGCCATGGCACACCAATAGGCCAAAGCAATGCACACATTTTGAAATAATGTATAGTGTTGGTGAATATATTTTTTTCTATCAACTAAAACTGCTGCGAGGTATAAATCAGATAAATGTAATATTTCCATATCCACGTGTGCTTTTGTTAACATAATATTCAAATACTATGAATTCTATTTTCAGACTGACCTTGAAGAAATTTGATCGTTTTGGATCAAGATTGCTGTTGGCCAAAGATTCAGTCTCGTGCCACGTTTCGTCTGACTTTTTTTTTTCCGGGCCATATTCCATCCGCCTATAATATCACCTACCTGCCTTCCACGGATATATAATACACCCTCGGAACAACTCGGCCATGTGTGAATAGCCACAACATGTCTGAAACGTCCAATGTACAAAAACTAAACCTGTCAGAGGATTCAGATCCAATGTATGCTAGTCTGCATGAAATTACTTCAGAAACAGTGGAGGATGTTATATACATCAGGATGTTTTCCAGTGAGAATGGAGATGCAGGTCACAACCTCGATGCGAAGCAAACGAATCTCAAAGAGCTCAAAAAGGAGCCTTTACATTCTAAACTAAATAATAATGCTTCACAACCAGACAGCAATCCACCAGGTGAGACTAAAAACATAGGCGTGGTGGGAAAAGACGAGTTCAAACATGTGCCTACCACCACGGTGCCACGCGAAAACACACGCTACTGCCAGAAGCTCATGGCACTAATTGCAAATGTGGATGTTAAAGCGAAACAGAGATCCGCCACATCACTCCAAGAAGACACGTACGGTGTTCACAGGGATGCTGAAGCAAAATTTTCAGAATATGACTCCTCGTCCTCTGACGTGAGTGACCATACATATGAAGCTACAGATTATGAGGGAATAGACAGATACAGCAACTGGTCTCTAAAGCACAGCCTTTCGCTGCCAGATGACGAATCTAACGAATTATACGATCCCCAAACTACAAACGAATTGAGCAAAAACGAAGACAAACGTGCACCTTTGTCGAAGGAGAAGCCCAAAAGCCTTGACATACCCACACGCAGTGACGAATCCCCGATCTATTCTGTCCCAAATTCTCCGCCACGCAGACACGAAAAACGCATTCACGTTGAAAACGATTGCCCACACCCAGACTTTTCTCCAAACATACCAGTGAACGCTGCCGGGTACGCTGATGCCGACACTAAGGGTGAAGAAAGTGAAACGGTGTCCCCCGCATATCAGTTCAAACAAGCGGGCGGTCGCCGTGCCATGAAGCCTGGCCATAAAAAAAAATAGCTTCTCAACCTCTCGGAGGGCGTTTGACTTTTCATCTCCACTTGTAACTGTTCGCCCGGCTTTCTTAATATGCTGCCCTATAGCTGTGTCTAAAGACCCTCTGATGTTAGCTGCTACATCGAGCCAGTATCGCGATCTACATGTATCCCTCGAACCTCGACTCTGGGACGTGCAGCATGAAGGCGTCATTGAGGAGGCCGGGGACAGCCAAGCAAGCGGTTCTTTCTCTCTGCTCGCTTCACCTCAAGAAACTCCCTGAACAGCACTCGGCAGAACAATGGGGGTGGGGGGGGGGGCAGTGACCTCAACAAGATTCTGATCTGGAAGACTTTACCAAAGCCGACGATTTGACTCCTTGCTACCAATGATCATCGTCCATTATCACTGTCAGCCATCATTATCATCATCGCCACTAAGATCGTGGGTTGCCACCTCCTCTTGTTTTCCCAGGACTGCCTCTCTTGTTTTTGTGTTTGAGGTAGCAACTGTCCTGGAAAACCTGTAAGTCTTCAGGCAGGAAACGGCAGAACTTCAACAATCTTAGCAGTAAAAGGTTTTTACCCTTTTAGCTGGCACAAAAACTGAAACCTTTATACAAGGGATCATGTTTGCAATAACCACAACACAAGCAGTCAAAATGCAAAAAAAATAGACAACTCTGATAATGATATGCACTATCCTTGAAATTGATTGGTCCACACCCGAGACGGCTTTTCTTAGAGCCTAGTCTCCACTGGTGTTGGACCAGAAGACGCCAAAAGGCGTACAACACCTGTGGAGACTAGGCTCTAAGAAAAGCCGTCTCGGGTGTGGACTAATCAGTTTCAAGGATAGTGCCAATATCATTATCAGAGTTGTCTCTTTTTGTTTGCATTTTGACTGCTTGTGTTGTGGTCATTGCAAACATGATCTCTTGTATAAAGGTGTCAGTTTTTGTGCCAGATAAAAGGGTAAAAACCTATTACTATTTCTTGCTACTGGCAAAGGAGGTCTCATAGTGTAAATGCTTCAACAATCTTCTTGCTGAACGTGTCCATCAAGCTGTGGCTGGACACCATTGAAGTAACATAGTTGATGGGGGTTCTCTGGAAAATTGAGATCCAAGTGTTTCTTGCTGCGCAACTTCGGCTGTCTAACTCCGGTTGTGCCTTTGGAGTGTGCTGTGCATTTGCATGTTTAATCTCCATATATATAAAAAGCAAAGTTGTGATTGTGTTTCTGTTCAAAATGTTTAGCCTACTTCCCGACGGGCAACAAACTTTAAATTTGCCATGTGGGTACTTTCCAGACTGTACACCATGCAAAAATTATAAAAATACACTTTTTGGGGGGGGGGGGGGGGGGTATGGGGGGCGCTCAATAATGCATATTTTTTGCACGGCAAGTGAGCTGTGACGTCAAATCTGTCATGTGACCCGCGCATGTGGAAGCGTAACGCATTGTAGTGTAGTGGTTAGCGCGCTGCACTACGAACCCAGCGACCCGAGTTCGATTCCCGCTCACGGCCACCACCGGTGACCATGTGACCCGCGCATGTGGAAGCGTAACGCATTGTAGTGTAGTGGTTAGCGCGCTGCACTACGAACCCAGCGACCCGAGTTCGATTCCCGCTCACGGCCACCACCGGTGACCATTATTTCAACCGGTCCTGGGCCTCCCCTAGGTCCACTCAGACTCAAATGAGAAACTGGTGTGGTGTGTGAACATCGCAAATGGGGAGACAAAGGCGTGGTGAATCCAAGTCCCGGGCGAAGCCGGGTAGTAAAGCTAGTACAATATATATTCGTTTATTCACACGCAAGTGATTAAAAGCAATACAAAAGTAAAACATATATCGGGGGAAATTGGTGAGGGAGGCAATACATCGTTAAAAGGTGGGAAAGGAAAGGGGGTGGTTAAGATCGTACTGTTTTATACAATTAAGTGCTCATATCATTGGTTGTAGCACTATCTGAGCAACCGAAATTAATAACAGTTCAAATGAAGCACGCTGACAATGCAGTGCTGGTCTCCTGGTAGAGAGGTCTTACGGGGCGAGGCGCGGTCACGAAGTAGCGAGTGAAAGTAACGAGTTCTCTTGACCCTGGTGTGGGGGGGGGAGGGGGTCAAGCAGTGGATAGGGAATGCGGTTTTCGTTTGACAGAATACGATTGAGGAAGCACAAGTCTGCGGCTCTGCAGGTCACGTCACAAAAGTGGTGCGCCTTGACAAGCCTGGACTGGCCAATGGGCAGCAGTCCAAGGTGGCAAATCCCCGGTGGGCCCGTCCATGCCGAGAGCCAGTTGGGCCAGTCTGCTTAGGGAAATTGCAAATGTGATTGAGTATAAAAAATATAATCTAAACATATTATTACCTATTCTTGGTTCTTTCGGTAAAGTCACGTAGAAGGGAAACAATAAAATAATAAAAATATAAAACAATAAAATTCTCACGACGTTTCGACTGCAACACAAGCAATCATCATCAGGTGTGAAAACCACAGCAAGAATTTTTTTTCAAATTTTCAAATTTTCTTGCTGTGGTTTTTCACACCTGATGATGATTGCTTGTGTTGCAGTCGAAACGTCGTGAGAATTTTATTGTTTTATATTTTTATTATTTTATTGTTTCCTTTCTACGTGACTGTACTGAGAACCAAGAATATGAATCCCTGCAGTCACGAAAGCTTTAAATCAAAATATTATTACCTCTCATGTGCACTCTTCATTGCCTATTTACGTGTGAAGGCTCATATTCGGCAACCCCAATGATTTTTCCTCGCAGGCCAAATGGGCATAATCACACTAATACGTGACATCGTAAATCTAGATCCCATACTAGTACAATATACAGCTTGTCTCACAATCCATTTACTCTTTTTTTTAATGCCCATTGCCCGAAGTTGGACAGAACCCTCTTCATCAGGTGAAGGGACCAGACTGTCTCGAGGACAGTGCTGGAGTGAAACACAGCCAAGCTCAGACCGCGACCTTTAAGCTGTGTGAGAGTAATTAAGGTGCCTTGACAAAGGAATTAGCATAAAGGCACCTTAATTACTCTCACACAGCTTAAAGGTCGCGGTCTGAGCTTGGCTGTGTTTCACTCCAGTGCTGTCCTCGAGACAGTCTGGTCCCTTCACCTGATGAAGGCCGCTTGTGTTGTGGCCGAAACGTCGTGATTTTTGTTGTTTTTTTTGTTGTTGTTTTATTTTTTACCTACGTGACTTTACCGAATAGAACCAAAGAGTATGGATCCTTGCAGTCACGAAAGCTTCAAATCTAGAACAGAATCCTCTTCTTTTTTCTCCACCGTTGGTGAATCCCCACCACCCGTGAGAACGGGCAGTCCTCGACATGCAATCGGGTTTCCGTTCCTGAGACCCGATCGTAAGTCGAACGGTTCCTAAGTCGGAACACAATAATGTACTGAATTTAAATGCGCATACGGTCAGCGTTACAAAATGTGTTACAGTACGACAAGAAGGGGCGTCATTTTCTAATTTTCATAAAGAAATATTGTACACGTGCATGTTATGTTGTCATAAATGCTGTTTCGTAAATAAAACAACATCGAGTAACTTTATTTTCACTTATCTTGAGTCCTGATGCTGGTTTTCTTGTCTGAATGTGCGTAATGAGTCACCGCAATTGCACACACGCAGGGCACGCAGGGAACAAACCCACACACGGAGCATGCACGCACAAAGACACGCACAAAGACACACACAAAGACACACACAAAGACACACACAAAGACACACACAAAGACACACACAAAGACACACACAAAGACACACACAAAGACACACACAAAGACACACACAAAGACACACACAAAGACACACACAAAGACACATACAGGGGCACGCAAGCACAGAGAGAGACACCAACGACAAACGACCACGGTCCCCCGTATAGATTAAAAAGACCGTGGTGGGAAGTGACGTCACAAAGCAACGCCTTTAAAGGCCAGAGCGGCACGCGAGCGATTGGGTGGCCAACACCACGCCTGGAACACCTTTGGGGCCGTCCATAAATGACGTCACGCACGTAAGGGGGGGGGGGGGGTCAGACATTTGTGACCATGTGTGACGATGGGGGGGGGGGGGGTTGAGAAATGTGACGTCACATCAAAATGCGCAATTTTAAATAAATATAGACAACATGTTCTACTTAATTAAATCGACTTTTGTAATAAATGTTTAATCCTACAACATCAGAGTGCAGCGCCACATTAGATACGCACTACAATGACAATAGTTTAAAGCGATTTTAAGCGTGTTTTATTTTTGGGGGGGGGCGGGGCAGAGCTTTGTGACGTCATATTTAAGGGGGGGGGTCTGACTTTTTGTGACGCCGTGTGACGAGGGTGGGGGGGGTCAAAAATCGTCCAAAATTGCGTGACGTCATTTATGGACGGCCCCTTTGACTCCCCAGTGGAGATGTTTACACACTGCACCAGGTACTCATTTGAGGCTGAGTCGACCTAAGAGCGGCCCAGGACCCATACAGATAATCGTCACTGGTGTTGGTCGCGAGCAGGAATCGAACTCGGGTCGCCGAGTTGATAACGCAGCGCGCTAACCATTGAACCACCGCTCCCCACACATGCACACTCATTTTCACACACACAACAACAACCGCCATTCGCCACTAAGTGGTGGCGACGTCACCACAACGCTTGTGCCAGGCCATGTGCACCTTGAGGCCAAGTGAAGTGTCGAACGCCCGCTGGCAGGAGGTCACGGGGCAGACCCAGGTACCACGGGTCGACTGACTGAGGTGACTGGTTGATGCACCACCTGTGCCCCCTACTGTGCCAACCTGCTGTGCTTTAGCCACCCGGCGCTCCGCTCGTTGTTGTGAGCGTCGCTCCTCCGCCCTCCGTTGTTGTTGGAGGGCGACTGCCTCCAACTGCCCAGTAGCGTCCTTCACGAGCCTCCTCCACAGAGGCCGATCTTGACACCGCTGGCACCAGTCATCGGCAAGTCCACTCAGCTCCACGTCCTCCTGTACCACATCACTCCATCTCTTCTCTAGCCCGTGCCGCGCCCGTTTAGCCCCCTCTATCAGGCTGAACAAAAGCTGTTTCGGCATGCGGTGGCTGGGCATGCGGGCTACATGACCCAGCCAACGCAGCCTTGCCTGCCGGAGGAGCTCACCGATGGGACCTTGCACACACACACACGAGCACTACCAGCAGGACGATGTGGCGTAAGTCGAGGACTGCCAGTAGCTCATCTTGGCGAAAACGGTATGAATACACATTTTTTGGTTCTTTCGGTAAAGTCACGTAGATAGAAAATAATACAATAAAAATAATAAAAATAATACAAAAAACTAAAACTCACGACGTTTAGATCGCAACACAAGCGGTCGTCATCAGGCGGAGAGACGATGGGGTATGAATACAGCTTTGCGGCATTCCATGCGCTCGTGATGTGCGTTAGGCGTAGAAAGTACGATCGCAAATAACAATGCCTTGATAATTATCTTGGTTATCTTGGGTTAGATCGCGTAAATATATATAAATGTGCCGTTAAACCCGCCACCACCCGACACAGCCAATTACTAAGGTTTGACACGTAAACAGAACATGCCAATTCGTTACTAGTACAGTGTGTAGAAGAGCAAATCCACAACATT